ATGACATAACATTTCCACAGATTAAGTATTAGCCCATTGTCATTTGCCCACTCCTCTATTATTGTAACGTCCTTCAGAATCTCGAGTAAACTCTTTTATCATTTTACGAACCTCCGAGATTTTGCGTCGTCTGTATAGATTGGTGCCGCCGAGCTATTTATGCTGGTACGAGACATCCTGTTCTCTAGGTTGTTTCGGAGCGAAGATAGAGGTAGATCAGTGAAACCCATCTTTCCAACCTAGGCTATGAAAAGTACACGAGGTAACTGGTCAAAGCCTTTTATAAAATCAAGGAACATTACATCAACCGGTGTCATTTGATCCCAGCAGGTCGTGTAGCAGTCTTTTACTACAAGAAGACTGGATGGGCATAGGCTACTTTTCCCAATCCCCTGTTGAACCTCATGAAGAATGTTGTTTTATCCATGTACCCTCTTGTTTGCTTCCAATGATTTGTTCTTCCATTTTCTTCTACAGTGCTAGGGGTGATGCGACTGGCCTTCAGCAGGCTTGGTCTTTCCTACCCTCTCCTTTTAAGATTGGAGAGGAAGTAGCCTGTTCCCATCATCTTAGGAGTTGGTATGACTCTGTTGGGTGTCTTAACAGATCTCATACTGGTGAACCGACTGCTTTTCATCACTGTTTCAGTATTGTAGGTCGGGTGTAGTCACATCCTGATAACTTTCCTGAGCTCAGCTACTTTAGAATTTTTAATACTAACCCAAGAGTAAGTTGAATGTTCTCCAGGTTATCAGCTGGCACTAGAGTTGAGGGATGTTCCGCTCTTGTAGATCTCTGATTTGACTGACCAGAGAAGTTGGCACTGAAAATTTCTGCTAGCTCAAAGTTGATAAAACCCTCACCGCTAGGTCTTTTGAGAACACAGACCTTCTGATTTGTAGTTTTTCTTTAAGTCATCAACCTATACTTATATTTCGATTTAGTTTGTATTTTGGCTACAGCTGGATCTAGAAATATCTCCTATAGCTCCAAACGTTTGCACTGATTAGTAACTTAGTGATAAGTGAACTTTGCTCTTGAAATTGTTGAGGTAAACAATCCAGTTGTCCCAAACTCTCCCTCCAGCTTATAGCGAGGGTTTTGTGCCTCACTTAACCCAAGATCTTCTTTTTCCATCAGTGTGTTTTGCCTGGAGTACATTAAGTAAAATATTATTTTGAATAAAGGTTTCTCGTCCTTACTCTATCTTGTGGCACCACCCACAAATTCAGTTAGTCATGGACTTTTAGTGGTTGTAGCAAGCCGTATATGGAACTACTATGTAGGAGTTAAATCATGCTTTCTGAGATTAAGAGACAGTGCTGAAGTCTCAAGCTGGTAGCATTTTGTCAAACTCCAGCTTCAGTAGTTGTATTACTGCCTGGATTACCCAATTTTATTGGGCGTTGGAACCTGTAGAGGTCCAGTACAGTCCTCTAGTCAAGTAAATTATTCCTCTGTCATTACAGCAACACCAGCAAGACTCCGTCACCTTGGTTGTGTGTTGTGTTACAGCTCCGGAGTGATCGGTCTTCACCTCTAGTTTTGCGTACCCCATCGCATCGGAAAAGTGTTATGCTCCGCAAGCTCACTTCATCATCAGTGATGTCAGGCGAAAGCCATATTTTGGTCAAGACTACAACGTTTAGATCCAACTAAAAGTGTAGTGGTATTGGTCCCTAACCACACGACCTTCGAACTGAGCGCATAATTACTGAGATTTACATTCAACATGCAACGCTAACGCAAGGAGGAAATGGTGAAGGCGGCAACAATGAATTGAAATGTCATGTCTCGGTCATGAAGGCGAGATCACTCTTTATAACCTCTTGCTTTTTGAGTCAACTGTCTTACTGTCCTCCCAGCACAACCATGTTTTTTAGAAATATTAGACGTAACAATGCTGATGGTCACGATCGAACGAGTCAGTGAAGATACTGATGAAACTTACAAGAAAGATCTTATAGACTACGTAGTCTTACTTACTTACGCCTGTTACTCCCAGTGAAGCAAACGCCGCTGACCAGTATTCTCCAACCCACTCTGTCTTGGGCCTTCAATCTAGTTCTATCCAACTCTTGTTCATTCTTAACATGTCTGTCTACATTTCTCGACGTAATGTGTTCTTCGCTCTACCTCTTTTTTATTGGCCTTGAGGACTCCAAGTGAGAGCTTGTCTTGTGGCGAAGTTGGGTGCTCTCTCAATGTGTGTCTTATCCATTGCCATGGGATAAGGTTGTATGTTTCAGTTTTAGAATTGACTTTTTATAGACACTTCCGTTAAACGAAGGTAGCATTTCTGTAGATATTAGTTGTCTGAAAGAAACACAATATTGCTGTCACTTCCAAGTATATTTGACAGTAGGAATCAGTGTTTCCACTAATCTAGTTCGATTATGCCATTACAATATGCAAGCCTAATCACCATGTGAAGGTACCAACTACGGTTGGCGGAATTTGAGATTCCTTATCATGGTGGGAGTTTGGAGCAACGTTAGACTGACCTTGAGAGTGTCCACATAATAACTAAGACCAAATGAAGCTTCTAAACCTGTGTAAGCAATTAGAACTATGATTTACAGTTGATGGTTGAGTTTGGGAATAAGATTAATGGTTTCCATCACGAACTGACATCAGCTATAATGCCGAAACGGTATTTTACCAAATGGACGAGTGAATTTCGCGCCAAAATCCAAGACCTCTTATCATGCTCCTAATTGGTTCGTCCATGAATTATATTCTCACCCTTATCATGATTTTAATATAGCACCAATAAATTTGCAACCGTACAACAGTTTGAATAAACGGGTTAAGCATACATTATTGAATGAATGTTATACTTGACTGGTTGAAGATGAGGTACACAACCTGACATTTTAATTGTTGCTTAATTACAATGCATTTGTGAAAGACGTACATGATTACAGTCATCTTATTACTTACTTACACTTGTTAATCACAGTGAGACATAGGCCACAGACCAGTATTCTCCAACTCACTCTGTCTTGGGCCTTCAATCTAGTTCTATCCAACTCTTGTTCACCGTGTTCATCAATGATGCTGCCTAAATGTGTAAAGGTTATTGCATCCTCCAAAGCTTCTCCGTCAATTGTGATTGGATTGATGCATGCTGTGTTACATTGGAGAATCGTGATTTTCCTTTTGTGTATGTTGAGACCTACTGCTGCTGAGACTGCTGCTACACTGGTCGTTCTCTCCTGCATTCGTTGTTGCGTGTGTGATAGAAGAGCCAGATCATCTGCGAAGTCTACATTGTCCAGGTGCATTGTAGCTGTCTACTGTATCCCATGCTTCTCCTCAGCTGTTGACGTCTTCATAAGCTAGTCGATCACCAGTAGAAAGAGAAGGATTGAGAGTAAGAAACCTTGCCTGACACCGGTCTTTACTTCGAATGAGTCTGTAAGCTGTCCCACATGCATGATTCTGCAGTTTAATCCATCATAGGAATTCCGTATGATATTGACTATCTTCTGAGGCACGCCGTAATCTCGAAGAAGCCTTCGTACTGTTGTCGTTTCCACGCTGTCAAATGCCTTCTCGTAGTCAATGAAGTTGATGTAGAGTGATGTATTCTGTTCAATTGATTATTATATAATGATCCGTACTGTTGAGATCTAATCTATACGCGATCTATCTTTACGGAATCCTTCCTGTTGGTCTCGAAGTTGAGCATCTACGGAGCCCTTCACTCTGTTTAACAACACTGTTGAAGACTTTTCGTAGTATTGAGAGATGATTGATGCCTCTGTAGTACTCACACTTTTGAGATCGCCTTTCTTTGATATCTTGATCAGATTTCCTTCTTTCCAGTCCGCTGGTACTTGTCCTTCATCCCAAATTTTGCTGAAGAGAATGTGGAGTATCTTTACAGTTACTGCTACTTCTGCTCTCAGTGATTCCACTGGAACGTTGTCTGGTCCTGCTGCTTTGCCACTCTTGATTTGTCTGATGATTATGCTGATCTCGTCAGTTGTTGGTGGGCATACGTCGATTGGTAGGTCCGTGGGTGGGTTCAGTGGGGCTGGTCGATCCGAGAGTTCATTGAAGTGTCCTACCCACCTGATTCGCTGTTCTTAAATATTAGTGATTACTCCGCCTTCCTTGCTCTTCACTGTTTGTTCTGGTTTACGATCATTTCCAGTGAGTTTCTTTGTTGTATCATGCATTTGCCACATGTTTCCTTCTCTTGCAGCCTTTTCCGCCGTCATTGCTGGATCTTCCACATTTTTATGTTTATCGGTTTTGGTGCCCCTCTTCACTTGCTTGTCTACTTTTGTGTATTAAGCTCGTGCCTTGGCTTCTTCTGCTCTTGGTCGGCTGGTATTGATTGCTGCTTTCTTGTTCCTCCTTTCTTAAATCATATCCAGTGTATCAACAGTGATCCATTCCTTTTGATGGTGCTTCTTGTGGCCCAGAACCTCATGACATGTTGAAGTGATTACCTTCATCTCTTTCCAGTTGCTCTCCATAATAGTTCCTTCTCTATTGAGTAGATCATGAAAGGCCTGGAACCTATTGCTGAGGGCTATCTTGAATTTGCTGAGTTTGTGAGTATCCCGAAGAAAAGCCGTATTAAGCTTTTGTGATGTTGTCCGCCCCATTTTCCAGTGCTTCTTGAGTTTCAATTTCATCTTGGCGACCAGCAAGTGATAATCAGATGCTATATTAGCTCCTCTCCTGGTTCTCACGTCTTCTATCGTCCTCCTGAACTTTTTGTTGATGCATAAATGGTCGATTTGGTTTTGCATGGTGTGATCCGGTGAAGTCCATGTGATTTTGTGAATGCGTTTATGTGGGAATATAGTGCCGCCTATGACCAGCCATGGCCCAGAGATTAATATCAAATTGAATGCTTAAACAGAGTAGCATGATTGTCTGGCATCTTTGGGTTACAATTGTTTCGTATAGTTTTCATTCTTCTCTGAAAAAACCTTGATTTTTTCGCACTGCTGCGCGATATTGCATTCGACCTTGAACCTGACCCTAAAGGCCATAGGGACTTTTCACTGGCATACCATTGGATGCTCGTAGTTTTATAAGTAGTTTTACTTACAAGTTGCATTTCCAATGTCTGACGACGTAATGGTTTCTAAAGTTATTCTACAGGAACAGCGTGGAAATTTTTTACTATCTGATGTAAAGGAAGAACCACGTGATTCCACCCCAACCCCGTCAACTTGTTCTGACAATTCACACATTCCCGTGAGTTTTCTCTGACAACTTAGTTTAGTTACGTTCATCCATGTATTAGTCTGAAAAACAAGGCATAGCATGCTTTAAAACTTTAAAGTGAATCTACGGTTAGTAAAGTGTCATCCATTACTTAAAATGCTCGAGCTACATGTACATAATAACTATACCACGCAGTTCTTTTCTGTGGCCAAATTTATCGGATATTTTCAGCAAAGGCGCTAGTTGTCTTCTGGCTGATAGGTCTAACTTTTATTGTTTTTTCTTCAGTTTTACATTTTGGATGCCCAGTTGGCCCTAGACCTTACACTTATCGAAAGAGTAGGTGTCGTGGTTTAAAACCTCACTTCGCTCGGTTCTCTTTGTTTCCTTGTCATTTGTCACTTCTCTACAGTATCTCTTCTGTACACTTGGGTATTTACCAATTTGCCTCGTGCCGCTGCAGTGCGTCAAAACTCATATCCTAGTGTTACAATGTCCGATTTTTTTCCACCACTAATACTGACGTTGAATGAAAATTCTGTCAACAAAGCAGCTTCGACGCTTCTACAGTCCACTATACGTTATATTACCTGTTTGATTTGTATAATAAAAAAGACGGCTCTGGCATGCGATATCATTTGGCGTACATACTTGTGTTTTATCTTTTCCTGTAGGTGTGTATTGTACACATCAATTTCAAGTCGATAATTGTTATTACATTAAAAACCCTTATGATGCTTCTATTAGTAGTAATGACAAACGCTCCTACGTTTGCGCACCAGGTTGTAAGCTATGGCTATTGCGCAAGAGTTGACAGTACTCGGTTCTCCATGCCATGGCAGGCGAAGTTGGTTTTGAACCTATCATATAGTGGTTAGGTCAACCACCAAATCCACTAAATCACGGTTTTGCAGCAAATATATGACATGTAGAGATTCAACCGCGTCTAGAATTGGTATTCAGTGAAACTAATATCTTCATTGCTATCGGACATTCGTAAGTTTTATTGAAGGAGAATAGTTTTAGGAGGAATTTATTTAATTTAACTGTTTCAACTTGGAAGTTTTAGAATTGTAAAGTACTGGAGCAATTTAAAATTACAGGTTTCCATTATAAATCGCTGTATTAAATTTACTTGATAAAAATAACTGCCTACACGAGATTATACATTTACGTGTATCCCGAACTTCCATCGAGAATGTTGCCTTCGAATACTCTTTCCATATGGTCGATACATCCATAGTTTTCCTGAATGAAGCGTTAATTTCTTTTTTTTTGCTCTAAGGTAATATATTCGTTCACTAATCTCATCCACCTAACAAAGTATCAATTCTCAACGTAAATATTGTTATTTCTAGATCACTACAGCTGTTCATGAGGTCACCCAACCAACCAATCAAATTCAGCTGGGAGCTACATTTAGTTACATATCCCCACCACCTTATTTCTCAACAGCCGAACGTTTAAATATTTCAGGAACACATCCTCATACTTGGCCGAATATTTATCAACAACAGATCTCTGGAACATCTAATGAACCTTTAATGTTGCATAATGTATCGACTTTGCAAAATTGTTCTCCTACCATTACTACCGTCAGTACTTTAACTCCTGTTCTTTTGTCTGGCGTATTTCCTTCATATCCACCACAACAGGTATTTATATGAGTATAACGCTTTGAATATAATGTTTATTACTATTTTTCAGTCCTACTAGTATTCACGAGCTTGACATAGGACTGAAGTAGTCACAGTATTCGTAAAAGATCACGTAGTCATTACACATCGTTCTCTAAAACTGTCTTATAGTAAAACTACACTTTTTGGAAAGAGCATACCAAAAGTTTTGATATTTGCTGATAGGCATTTAGTACACTTGAACAACTACTAGTAGTAGAACCTTTCTTGACATTTTATTGACCATGTTGGTACTATAATAATGATGAAAACGTTAATCCAGTGTTTTTAGAGCTTTTAGTAAACGGGTCAAACAATAACACTAGATTACTCCATAATTTTCATAGCAGATAAATTTCTCTCTTAAATTTTCTGTCGTTAATTCGTTGTAGTAACACCAATTTGTATACCCTTGAACAGTTCACTAGCCTCTTGAAAGCCATTGAGTTGCGTAAACTATTCTTGGTTTGTATGTTGCATAGTTTTATATTGTATACGCTTGAATGCTTAGCTAGACGGTTAAATAATGCGTATTGTGTTAGTTTCTCATACCAACTAAGGATGTACACATATTTGCCTTGTTTCGAATATTCTGTTACGGCGTTTATCTGGTTGCTCTCTTTCGCCTTCCGGTAGTTTTATGAAATATATGTCTCTATAAACTGCAATTGACTGGAATTTACGCTGTCTGGTCCAAAATTATGTGAGCGCTGGGGCGAAACTATGTAGAATGACATCTTGTGGGATCAGATCAAAACCTTAAGACACACCTCTATGTAGTCATTGTCCTTTCATATTTTTTAATTTGAAGCTTGGATTGCATTATCGTTCCACTGAGTTGTAACAAGATCGTTTTCTTGACTAAATTATTTATTTAAACACATAGGCTTCATTGTTTTCCCAACGAATTTTTTTTTCAGAATTATCTTAATAGTAAGATCCTAACAGTTAGGATATGTAGTGCCTTCTACATTCGTTTGTGTTGCGTCGACTCGATTTTTTTAACAACTATAATTCTACAACACTACCAAAAGTCATAATGTTCATCTACCGAAGTACAGTTGCGATTTAGAAGTGATTATTTGCTCCCATAAATAAGATACTGCACAAGTGAATATTTACACGTTTACCTCAAAATCTACTTCTGACCAATGTATGTACTGGATACTCTGTAGGATCCCTCATCACCTTTTAGTTTAATCTATTCTCATTCATTTATTTCAATTTTGTAGACTTTTATTCGAGTGATTTTATGCTATAAACAAGTGAAAAAATTCTAATAAGTTTATGACCATGCTCAACTTCATTGTTAGCTCATTCTATCGCCACCTATCATAAATTCAAATTAAATTTTCCGATAGACTTGTTCACGATTATATGAGTTACAGTTTGTTACAACATAAAAGTTGAGTCTCAATCTGTACTCGGCAACAGTTGAGCAGTTATTGAATGATTAGAGCACTCGATTTCTAGCTGTTGGCTTCTAGGTTTGAACTCTAGCTACTTCGGTTTGGACAGTCGGGTATTATCACTAGGATGAAGACGAGCGACTCAGCTCAAAACTGTACATAAACCTATAATTGGTGAGTCACATGAACTGAAAAGCAATGATTGCTGATAGCTTATGTTTGTAAAAAGCAAATGAATTTCGCACTGGAAAATCCAAAATCCAACAAATTAATTATTAAGTGTATTTGAATACTAAATGAATAAAGTTGAGTTTCATAAATGATCAAAATCCTCAGTGAAGCACAGAAACATACTAACCAAAAGATATGATTTGTATTGAATTCATTTCACCCAATAGATTCTTGATATAGGTATTTTGGATCTTTACCATAGCAATAAGTATTGCTTGAATTTATTCAACTTTGTCATTATTCTTATACATATACATTTTTTTGCTTTCGGTAGTTCCATCAAAATCAACCATTACCTAATCCCATACACATTCAAAACTCTTCATCTAGTGCACTTGTAAGCACTCGTCTTCGTTTTCCTTTGAACGAGACCATTAATTCGTCATCTATAGGTAACAATGCGTTTTATGGATTTTTACCTGGCAGCGGGGATCCTTCGATATTACAATCATCTGGACCAACAGTTTGCAATGCATTTAACCATAACCCTGTTCATCCATTGTATCATAATAACAAATATCTCCTAGCTCCTCAGCATTCACCAACAATTTCAACTTCAACTGTCTCAACATCAAGTTATCTACCATCTAACCTACCAATTCATATTCAACCATCAATGATAACACTAAACCCAACTATTGAATCAACTGATGACATTAGCAGAATAATCTCTAACTCTTTCAATGTCGAAAACCGCACTCATGGAAATAATAATAATAATATTGTTTCACAAACAGTTATTCATCCTAACGTTGGTAGCTCTTGTACAAGTCATCTTTCAAATAAGAATTCTATTCCTAGGGAACTTGCTCATTCATCATATGAATCAGCGCATCAACATTCTCTTATTAAAGTAGGTTAACTAGTGCTGAAATTAATTTTTTTTCTATTATCACCAAATATTTGGATATACAATTTTGTTTTTTGTTGGAAAAATAACTAACTAATATAAAGGGATATCAACGTTTTTATTCCAAAAAATTTAGTATACTCAATACTTCATAGGTATGTTCGACATCTTAATCTCTTTTTCAACAGCGTATTTCATTGAATGGTATTTATTGTCAAATAGTAGTCTATATAAAATGAATTGACTCACTTTTGTTATCAAGTTGAATTGAGTGGAATCAATGAATATAATTAGTATTTTGTTCCCTTAATTTTTCCTATTCCCATTAAACCATTTATGATTGAAGAAACGGTAATTTTTTTGTTGTTGTTGCCGAATAATGAATATAATCACTTGATAAATCTCATCAGCATTGATTTCTTTCTTTCGGTATTAAGTAAATGAAACTTCATCTATGGAACATACTTAAAATGCTTTTTTTTTTTAAATGCTACAATTGGATTTGAAATTGGATCGGAACTGATCCTGTCAATGAAGAAAATGCTTTATATTTATTTAATAGATATGGTTGTTTTATAAATTCCAGCCTACATTTGTATACAATGGAAGAAAATTTACGTAAAGGTTTAGGGTAATTTGATTTCTATAAATGAATTGATTGTTGAGGTGTGGAGTTCGAGAACTATTTCATTATCAGTGTTAATTTCTACTTATCTTTTGAGAAAATATGTTGAAATTGTTGATGACTATATTGGTTGTCGTGATTATAGTAATTGCACTATACATCTTGAATGAACTTCGTGAACTCTGCTAGTTCCTTTTAAGATTTGTGAAATTCATAAGCACTTTGACTGCTATGATATTCAAACTGATACTTCTTCGAAATTTCCGCCGTATCAATTACGTCTTTTATTACTTTTTAAAATACCCTTGTTTTTTATTAACAGATTAGAATTTAATGAGTGTGATAATTTTTTAATCTATACCATCCTTCCCCATTATTGTCTGTGTTATACTGGTCAGTTGACATAACGAAGCATGCTACTAATTTTAATTGCAGATTGACAGTTTTATGAAGTGCTATACTGGGGATGTAATTTACCTAAGTTTAATTCAGGAACTGATCTTAGCTAGACCACCATTAAAAACATGGAAGCACTAAACGGCCGTTTCATCCCTGTAAGAAACTCCTCGTCAGTAGGGATCCACGATTGAACCCAGGACTTTCGGTCTCGCTTATGAGCGCTTAACCTCTAGACCACTGAGCTGGCATTCAACAATGTTAATGTCTACCTTCAATCTGTTGACGATATTACACAACCCTCATCCATTGCTTGCGGTGGTTAACTATCTCACACCCGACATGGATTGAACTCTACTGGTCACGGCTTCACATTAGATTAATTTGACTCAATCTAATTTTGATAAATCCAATAGATCACATCATGGAAAAACCCATTTGCTAATAATATAATCGAAATAAAGATAACTAATTTCTGTGAATTATACATTTAGTCTCATTCATAACATCAGGGCTATGAATTAATTGTAATATGATAAATAATTGCGTCAATATTTCTAACATCAACTCTTATTGAACAGAGTATTGAACCGAAAGAGAACTTCATCTAGTTTCAGTTAATTCAAAGATAAATTTCAAGTAGATGATTTATACGATTCATCGTGAAAAATAAATAAATAAATAAACTAATTAGATGTATAGATATAGTGCATAAAACAAGGTAACTAATAAACATTACTCAATTGTCGATAAGCTAACAGAAACAATAAAAAACAAAGGAGAGACTGTGTAGACAAATCTCATGTAAACAACTATGTACAAAACCGATTATATAAAATAGTAAATTTTACAAACTGTTTTACAAGTGATCTAAATAACAAATCATCTTTTGATTTCACTAAAATCCTAAGTAATTTTGAATGATGATAAAAGTTACACTTTTTTCTTCTCGACATCAGATACAAGTCGATAGACGCTAAATTATGAATATCACCTAGGGAATTATGAAGAGTATTTTTTGTGTGTAACTTTCATTGTCATTCTTTCACTGTGACCATTTCAGTAGTATTTTTATCTTTCACTGTATATAATAAAATATGGTTCGTTTCACCGAATACACAAATCAACACTTAGTTATAGGCTTACTAACTATCACTACATACTTCAACTCTCTTTTCATCTTTGACTTATTTATCAAACATAAGTTTATATATTCGATCTTGAGGCACACTTCTTTATGTGGATTAGTAATACTACTCATTTACTCAAACCTTAGTAGGTTGAGTATGATTTGAATTCCTCACTTAATTGTTGAAGTCTGAGTGCTTTAACTAAAAAGCTACCCCTTATATATATAGTTAATTTGTTATATCTTTTCTGTCGATTTCATTCTTATTGGATATAGTCGACAATACGCAAGAGTAGTTCTACAGAACCTGTCAGTAATATCAATAAAATACAGTCAATTTCATTAGGAGCAGTAGCAACAACAGTACAGACAGTCTCAACGACAACTGGTGTTCCTGTTTTAGACAAACAAATTCATGTTACAGTATGTTCTACCTCTGCTACAACTATGACTACTACTAGCTCTACCGCTCCCACTATTGACAATAATTTTGATCCAATAATTGAAAATGCTTTCGATGGAGTTCTATGGGGTCGTATATATCGTCGTGCAGATGGTGATTTAATGCTTCCTGGATTAGGTACACTTTGTACATTTAAAAGTTCAAATTCAGTGTTAAGACAAATCTGTCAAATGACTAAAACAGACGATAGTCTTGCATTACAAGTGAGTTATTCTAGTTTCAAATTACTCCTTTTTTATAATTAGGGAAAAGAAAGAATTATCCTTAATCTAGATAAATGATGTAATATGTAGTTGATCTTTATCATAGACTTACTAAGCTTATGTTTAATAATAACAACAGAGATCATTTTTATGAAATCCCATACACATTGATTAGGATTAGGGTTACGGTTACCGATAACCAATACCAATATTATTAGCGTTACCTTTTCTGGATTGACACGGTGATAGTTAGTACGTGACTTTTCATTCTTTCTATTATTATCACTTTGCAAGCTTGTTGTTATATTCACAAACGCTACATAATTCTTATAGGTAATTATCTTGAATTCCAATATTCTCTCGCACATGCCTTTTCATTTCGCCTTTTATTTTTTAATCATATTCCTGAGGTTCTAGTCTTTCTTTCTATGATCGCTACTGCATTATTTCGATCTCTTTTGTGATCTTCATTTCGTCGTGCTAATTATGGTTCGACAATTTTGGCCAACATATATCTGTGCTAGTCTCTATGCTGAAGACATCTGCCTATATATATATATATATATATATGGTAATATCTACTGATGTTGTTATCTTCTGAAAATAAAAAAGTTCTCTTATCAAGAACCACCTTTTTTTCTCGCATTACGACATTAGAAAATTTTACGTTAGTTTGTATTTCAACAGTGTGTTAGTGTATATTTGGCGACAATGAGTTTACCGACTACTGTAAAACCATTCCAAGTTCATAATCAATTATATTTGTTGAATAGTTTGTCGATACAATTGATCTAGTCAGTTTCCACGTAATAGACCTTTAATTATAGGACCTTTCTCTTTTCACTGACATTTTTACGGGTACCAGTTTTTTGTCGTCACTACTTTTATTACATAGAAAATTTATCATTGCATACCTGTATTCCATTGTACTGAGTGGTTTTCTTTGTTTAGAATAAAAATCTCTTGACAAAATATCCAAAATCAACTAAGTCATTTGAAGCAGTGATTTAATGATAGAAGTTCTTGACTTACAACAGTTGAATCCCAGGTCAAACTTCTCTTCGTCTACTTTATTCGAAACACTCGTATAGTATCTTACCTTAATGTTATAGTCTAATGGTTAATATGTGTCTGGTTTCTAACCACAAAGTCCAATGTTCAGACCTCACTTAATCTACTTCAGTTTAGTTAACTAGGTTATCATCAACAGTTCTCACATGTAATGTTCAACTTGCAATATTAAATACATGAATATCTGTAATTGAAACATAAATTTTATTTCTTACCAAAATAAATAATTCCTTATTCTTGATAGCTATCGCCATCTAGAGTTCAAAGTGAAATTGAAAAAAATCATCTATCAACTTCACCATTGAATCCATCATCAAAAAAAGTAAGCATCTCCTAATATTTCATTTCTAATGCATAAATTAATTTGTCACATGAATGAAATGTATATATGTATGTATTCTGAAATTTACTAGCATAGTTACTATAGGTGAACTTAGTGGCTTATTGTTTCAAAAACTTTAGATAGTCAATTCATACCTCTCTCCCTCTATATCTGCTTTGATATGTATTTTTATTTGTATTTTGTAAGTAATTTACAGTTCAATAAATTAGCAAACATGTATAGTATTATTTAATGGTTATCGTTCTCATCATGAGAGCTGTAGATTATAATTTAAATCTCATGTATTGTTGTTGACATTTACTGCTTAAATGTCTCGAATGAGAGCGAAACAACTGTCCATTGCTCTGTTACTTTCAATGTTTCTCTAGTTGATATTATCAGTCATTGATAAAGATGCAACTCAATTTAATCAAATTATTCAATTCTGGAAACTTATTCATTTGTTCATTATCATGTTTGGTTGTTATATATCCTACAGTAATACAAAGGTACAGATTCCTACCAACTAGGTAAGAAAATTGATTGACTTATCAGGAGAAAAGCTGAAGCTAAAAACTGATCAAAATATTCAAGAAAGTTGCACTTGAAGAAACGAACCATACTTCACACTCAAGATGGCTAGTTTACGTGAGCACAATGAATATTTGACTAAGATTTTGAGCTAACTGTACTTGAAGAAACGAACTACACATCACTTAAAACGGCCAGTTTACATGAGCACAATATGCACTCAGATCTTGTTTGTTTTCGGCAAACACAAAAATAATAAAACCCTGGTTGCTATTGTGTGTGAAACAATACGCGAAAGGTCATGCCTTCTAACCATTATGCCGGTTAGAGGATAAGATGCAGTGTCACGCAGTTTGATATCCTGCTCGAGTAGTTGTATTTTTCTAACATGACAGTTGTTGTTGATGGTTTAGTATTCTCACGTTCATACGACAACTAGATATAATGCCATTCGCTGTTCTGTGATTCAAATACATCGCTGTGGTATATTCACTAAATCCAACGGTTAGACCCTAAAAGAAATACGTAAGCTTTTACGACCACGTTTTGGATACACGGGTAGGTTGTTGTAGTGCCTGACAGTTTGATACCCCATTTGATTACTTACATCTTCCCTAATCTATAGATTCGAATAAGGACCTAGTCTCCGGTTTATTATTACATTTCTCAATTTTTTTTCCACTTTGCATATTAAATCCTTCACATTTTGTCAGTATAAATGTTTACATAATTTTCATATATGTCATGAAAATCTCTCCATACTTCTCTCGACCTCTTCCTCCCAACCAAACTGCCAGAAGGTGTTAAACCAAATAGTCACAAGTATATTAATTGCCTCAATTTATAATTAACACCAATTATTACCGATAACATACAAGACTATAGAGTACAAAACTACAAGACATTTTTCTTACTTAACTAACCGATATTTTCTTTAAACTGCTAAAAAGCTAAAACTGGAATTCTTAAATCAAATGAAACCCTACAGTTAAATATCATAAAAATAATCATTCAGTTAATCCTTCTTAGTATCCCTCAAAAGAATTAACTACAGAATAAATACTCTCCGGTTGTGTATATTTTCTCACTTTACTTCCCTATATTAGTGTAATCCATTTTACGTAATATCTATGTATATGTAATATATATCTGTATTTAATACCGTACATTAAATGAAAAGGACAAATATATGTTGACTGGTAATTTGGAGAATCATCCCACTGGCATGCAATTTAAAAAGAGGTCGTTTACTATGAACCTAAAAATTGATTACTAAATTTACAATTGAATCCTTAGCGTAGACGTGAAAACAATAATAAGTGTTTCTCTCTCTCGATAATCTCTTCAGTAGTTTCAATGGAATCAGATATTCATAGATGAGGTAAATCATGTCAGTTTCTCCTCTCCGAGTTGATATGTCTATGTCTTCTACTTTATGAAGCTATTATTGTTAACTACTATCTGCTCTCATCCAACTAATTAACCTGGTTTTCTATGTGTCCATGTATGTGTTCACACATTGTTATTTGCTGGGTTTTTTTTCTGTTGCTTCATTGCACTCCTCTTTACCGCCGATAATGTATATGTATATGAATTCTCTACAGTGTACACAAAACCTTTGTACTTCTTATTTTACTATGACTTGCTCTGTGATTGGTTGTCTTCATCTATTATTTAAACAATTAGTGAAATTTAATTGTACACATACATTTGATTCATTATATTCTGACTATAAGGAGCTATTGCTCGAGTTGTGTTGTTCACCCCGTTCTAACTGTACTTTTTCTTTTGACTAAACTTAATTAGTTGGTTCGTTTGAATGATATTAGATTCATTGTGTGTTAAAATTTATTCATTTTTGCATATATATATATATATATATATATATATATATATATATATATATATATATATGCATGCAAAACACTGTAATCATGTACTAAACATAGACCAGTAGACTGTCGTTTTAAATCCTATCCTCATTACGGTTAAAGTAGTTGGAACTCAAAAGTAATACCATAGATATTCAATTGATAAATTATTTACAATAGTGAGTTTAAAATAATCACGAGGTTCTGTATAATAGTAAATCACACCCGAAGAGTGGGACAGTAGCTCATCGATAACGTTGAATACAAATGGTATCACACTTCCAAGTCTCACAAATGTAAGGATCTGAACCGCATTTTAGTTAGTTAAATCCACGTTTGATTTAAGTAGTAGCTTACTGGTTTTAGGTTCTGCTAACACCGCTTCACGTACATCATTAAAAATGGTGAATAGTAGAGCTAACTCCCACACAACTAGTGCTCCTCATAGCTGAGTTCATAAGCCTATATTTATCAAGTGAGGTCTAGATATTGATTCTGTACCGAGTTGTTTTACTGACTAAGTAGTGTCACGCTAGGACGACAAATCGCTTGCGATACTCGTCAATATTTAATAATTCTCCGATTACTCGTGTTATCTTTTCATTGAAGTTACTCTTCAATAATTGTAAATAATTCATTCTTTGTTATCTTTTTTCTCTTCATTTATTTCATCTGCTTTTTTTAATGGGATTAAAAAGGGTCTTCACATTTGTCTTTGTTGCCGATTAACATTTACCAGTAATTCTGTATATGAATGTCATTTGAATCGTTCAATAGCCCATATGTATTATCGATGTCACATTTGCATACAGTTGAATAGTAATAATAATGTGTCTACAACCAATGCAAATAGTGTAAATTCCATGTTAATTCCCAACGTAACAACTGGTACAGATTCTAGTATTGCAACGACAACGACTACTAATACTGCTATTAACAACAAGAATCAAAAAATTTCCAACCATAAAAATGTTACTGATTTTCAATTTTATTCAATTCTACCTGGTTATATCATAAAAGCGAACAATCATTGCGCTATATTCAGTCATTTCACATCGGCTCATCCTAATCAAATGGGTTTATGGACATTGGAACCATCATTGCTTACTATGTACTCTTTAAGAGGATCTATCACAAGTGCAGATTTAAAAAAATCATCACTTTCGGATTTATTATCAAATGCTCCAAGTATGTTTCATTTAAAAAAATTTTTTTTGCTGAACAGATAAAGATAGATATTATATTGTTCTGTTGAATGTGTAAATGAAACAGTAGTTCGTTATTTACTCTGACGTGTAATTCATCTTAATTCTTGCTCAATATAACCAGTAGTGATTGATTTGATGATTGTGCATATGTATGGCTGAATAGTTTGAAAGCACTTCCCGTTTGTCATATGTTCTGTATTTCGAATCTACTTGTAATGATTATTTTTTAGAGGTTAGAATCAAAGCGTTTATTCCAGTTGTTACTTTCCAAATTTCATTCTTGAATAATAGGTATAAAATTCTGGAAAGCTTATCATAATCAATTTATTTTGCGTGGATTTAAGTCATAAATGTTTGTAGAAATCTAAACATCTAACTAGTTTCAATGTAAAACAATCAGTTCCTTTAATAGGATGGAATGAAAACATAAGGACTGACAAAGCTGTGATATGTTTGGAATTTATTATTTTGATCGTTATTCATTGTGATTATACTCTCTGATTGTCTCCAAAATACGAACGATCAGAGATACGTCGAATATGAAGGGTAGATCTACGCATATAGATTGAATAATCATTATGTAGGTGTTTCAATAACCAAAACCCTCATGGGGATAATAAACGAAAAGATGGGACTTTTAAAAGTACTTTTTTATCTGAAGAAAAGACGACATGAGTAGAAATCACAGTGTGTGTAGTACTATACAAGATAGAAAAATAAGAAAAGATGTGAATTACTTGGAGTTGCTACGTTACAAAGATCGTAATAAAATAAAGTATAAAACATTACAATAATCCCTCTCTTCGTGGTTACAGTAGTACTGATTTTGATAAACTGTAGCACGTCGACAACAATGACTTCAGTCCAGTAAGTCAAAATCTAGTCGTTAGCACTTCAAACTTTAGTTGATTTAACATTTGTCTTAATAATCTCACCTCTCTGTGGTGATATTTTGTGACGACTTGAATCAATGTATAATATGTATTAGGTGAATTGCTTAGTTATTGATACGATTTCATCTGCAAATACTTCAAGAGGGATTGAAAAATCAGCGGAGAAAATTCAATCAGATAAAAAAATATCGTTATTAATTCACATTTTTCAATTCAACTAGATTCTGTCATTGTACTATTTAATGTCGTATGTTAAATCAGTATCTTCTAAGTGAAGAATTTTTTGTGTGAAAAAGTTGGCTAGTTCTTTTGACGATTTGTTACTATATTTTTATTCGTTTTTCATGTTATTTGAATTATCGTCATTATTATTACAGAAGAGAAGACATTAAATCAAATTTCAAATCAGTCTGACAGATTTCCATCTGATCCATTCTCTAATCATACATGTCTATCAGGAATTCTCAGTGATCTTCATCAAAGTCTCAAGTTTGTTCATTTGTCATATCATTTGTTTTTCTTATTTATAATTTAGTTATTTATTTGTATATTTCAGTTATATTATGAAATTCAAAAGAAACATATTGATGAATTATCGAAAGCTTATCATATCATCAAATCTCATTTCTCTCTCGCGCTCTCTCTTTTTATTTTGAGTTCAGTGGAGTTATCCTAAGATTTTTTTGGTCTTGGTTATGTAATTGTGTTTATTAGGAAGGATAAGTCAATCTGCTAATATATCACATCAGAATAATTTCAGGGATTATTCATTTTAAGTCTTCATACACAATACTTTATAGCTCCTTCAACTTTAGTCATGAGTAATAAATTGACTAGTAAGAACTATGATGACTGCGTTGTCTAGAGATAAACGAAGGAAAATTGATTCTTTTTTATTGAATAATTTTCCCTACTAATAACAAGTATCAATAGGGGGTTGTGGAGATTGTTAAGTTTTTGATTGAGATCATGAATCGATTGATGTTAGATCATCATTTAAAACCTGGAGGTTAGAGGTTAAGCGTTCGCGCACGCAACCGAAGGTCTTGGGTCCGAATCCCGCGAGCGGGACTGTGGGCGCACACTACTGAGGAGTCCCATACTAAGACGAGATGGTCGTCCAGTGCTTCCAAGTTTCCAATGGTGGTCTTATATCCATGGATTCATGATCTTAATCAAAATATAACAAGTATCTATGCCAGTCCGAAAGGGCGTGGGTGCCCCCAAGTGCCTGGTATGGCCGAGAGTGGGGTGGGCCCGCCCTCCCTCTTGGAGTGCTCTCACACAGCTACGCGTATACAGCCTCTGCCAGGGAAGTCCTACTAACTGCCTTCTCGTGACTGGAGTGTTGTTTACGAAAATGAGAGGACGAAAGGCGAATGTCCGGCGCTTTAACCGGATCCCAAACCAATGGTGCACATGGGCTCCAGTATCCTGAAGGAACATATGGCGTATGGAACAGTCTTGGTCACCGGCTACCATGGGACTGCATCTCCTCACGATGCTCCACTGCCTTGTGGGTTAGACTTTCAGGTCGAAGGCTCGGGGAGTGGCCCCCTAAGAAAACCACCTGCTTCGGTCTGGGCACCCGGGCAGTATCACAGCCCAGTTTAGTTCTAGTTAGTACTTATCATCAATACATATCCACAATATTAAGAGATATATGCGGTCCATGTGGGGGGTGTTGTGTCCGTGCAAATGGTCTCGTAATCGATAGAATCCAAAAAGTATCAAGAGCTGGTTATTACAAAATAGTCACTTATTGCAAACATTTCATTCTAATTTATCACTCAATCAATAGGCTACATAAGTTCTTTTTTTATTAGTTAGGACACTTGGTCTTAGCTTTCTTTTGTTTCTTAGACTCATAAATCGTGTGATTTTGCCAAAAAACCTACAAGACTACAATGTACCATAATTCTAAAATATCAATAGGTTCACACAACTAAGATATTTCTCTACAAAAAATCAGGTAACTGATTTATCGTCGATGAATACAAGGAATTAATCAGAGACAATAATCAATACGTCGTAGTCAACATAGTATCTGACAGTAGTGTTCATCAATAGAAGTCGCCAGACCACATTACCGCACAAGGTTGTAATTAATAAGATAAGATACCAAAGACGATGAGAAACATTACACAGTGTGATTGTCGTTCAAAAAAGTATGATATCTATACAAGAATACTGAAAATCAATATCTTGCACAAAAGAAAGTGAGTGCTTCTATGTCACTGTGATCGATTATTCGAAGACATGTCGATCAACCACCACTCCCATTCTTCACAATAATCGCATGGACACCTAACAAATTAGTCTCCGTTTTCAATATGACTCAGAACAATAATCATTAATTTCTTGAACTGATCCCGTGTCTTGATTTGACTATTCCCAGTCTTCGGACCCGCTCCCTACACCAACCATTGTTTCACGTTAATTTACAACTGTCGTTAGTCATGCGTAACTCATGTACCAGCCACCCCAGTTGAAGTCGATCCACAACCTCATCAATTAATCAATCATATTTGTCTAGTACCCTATGCGTAACCTCATTATTATTCACTTGATCTTTTAATGACACACGAGCAGTGCTTCTAATATATTTACTAATTAATAATGATTATTAGATGTATTCAGCTTGTTGGTGGTCACTAGTCCTATATATTCTGTTGAGATTGTAAAATCAACCTTATGGGTGAACCAATCATTTGGTGGAGGGCAATGGGAGAGAAGTTGATCATTTGGTATACTCCTCCTACCTTTTTTTATCCGATTAGTTACTACAGCATCATACAATTATCATCTCTAATTATTTATTACTACGAATGTTTTTTATTTTAGTCCATAATAATAGTCTTTTATTTATCTATCATATATTGTACTCGATTTTTCTTTTCTTTAATATAGCAATATATCTGGTCTAGATAATTTCGACTTGCTTCATCCATCATTGTCAACATCACTGGATATCAATAACAAGAATAGTTATGATTATAATTCATTGTCAGATTCTCCTATCATCAGTGCAAGTGATTATGATGATAATATTATCATTGAAAAGTTCTATTCCTTACAACGTATTTACAAACCGATAGTAATTCATTCTCAAAAACAAATAACCAATGAAACTACCACTGACAACAATATTCATCATCGTCAATTGCATTATGACTTGCATCTACCGAAGTTGCCTAGTTCCGACAGTTTATTATTTCGTATTATTCTTAGTCTGGCCAATTCTGATATTTGGCAAAGTCATCTATTCTTATCGAATTGGTGTGATAATAATAGTAATAATTCAAATAAGTCGTCATCGAATAAAAATGGAGGTGTTGACAAGTGGAGTACTTTTATGTGTTGCTATGCTGCTAATAATAATAAGAATAACTCTTCAGATATTTTATTCAGTATCGATGACGATGATGATGATTATTACGGTGATGGTGACGATGATGGTGATGATGAAGACCGTAATCGTGATTATGGACGTGATTTTCACAGTAATATTCATTCTAATAGTAGTGACAAAAGTGTCATTGATAGGAATTTTCAAAGCAGAATATTAACGAAGTCATTGTCTTTACCAAGTATGTTAATTTAATTTCTTCTTGTCAGTAAATAAGGTTGTGAAGATTGTTGGGTTTTCTTATTGAGATCACGAATCAATCAGTGTTAGATCACCATTGGAAACCTGGAAGATGATCGCGCAATATCGTGGAGCTAGACATTAACAGCGTTCGATCTCAGCTCAGCGGCGTTCGCACGAGCCCGTGGGTTCGAATCCTACGTGCAGGATCTTGGATGCACACTGCTGAGGAGTCCCATACTAGAACGAAATGGCCGTCTTGTACTTCCAGGTTTTCAATGGTGATTTGACATTGTTCGGTTCATGGTCTCGACAAAAAATGATTTATTCTCCCTAGAAAAAATTGGTTGTTTTCAGTGGGTAGCGGGCTTCATTAGGTCGCGTACCTTTGAGTAACATTTGTTGGGCGAATTAATTAGTTGCTTCAAGGTAAGATCAGCCCATTAATTCGCCAGTCATTAGTTAATCTGAACCCTTTCAAGAGGTGTGCAACCCTCTTGGCTTGGATTTGTGTGATAATCCTGTTTAGTAATTTTAGTTCCTGATGTACATTGCTCGAAATCACAACATTGTAATTTGACTTATTCACTAGGTTCTTATGTTATGAACAGCCATACCCTATAAGTAAGGGCTAATGATACTGGTAACCAATCACCTAAACTGCGAAGTAGTTGGGACGGGGCTGAAACTCGAGACTCAATGGCTAAAACTGAACGTCTTAATTACTGAGCCAACGGTCCACAATCTCGATGACTCAGATGTATTTCATTATTTAATTCTTGGATTTTAATATTATCTCATATGTTTTGATCGCTAATCCCTTTCTTCCTCTTTCAAACCCTCATCCTCCCACCTCTCTGCTTAATTTTGCCTACTTTTAGTGTAATAATATGATTATCTTCACTCATATGTTTTCTGTAGACCTTAGTAATTTTTTTTTCTGCTCATATGAAGCGTAGTAGTAGTAAATTAAACTGATGCAACTTTTTGCCAGATCCTATAATGTTAAATGACTAACTGATTCTGTGTAACTTGAGATATCAATTGCAATTAGGAATTAAAAATTTCTCTATCGCTAAATAAATTTCTATTTTGAACCGATTATCTGGAATAAATCTATGTACATCAGTTTAGCTGAACATACCTGTTTGGGAAAAGATATCACTAATCGATTGCTCAAATAAATGCAGACGCGGTTGGGGCTTTGACTTACGAATTAGAGCCAAAGTGTCCACATGTTAACTTAAAGTCGGCATAATAAGTGGGTTCCATGCTTTGACTCTCTATAGTGAATAAACCTATCACTTATTTATCCAAGGTCATCATAGTCTGTATAAGTCGAAGATCGACGAAGACTACAAGTTTTCGACCATAAATGTCCTCGAAGAAGTGCTTGGGTATCGTGGGACAACCTGTTAAGTAGTGGTGAGGTTGTGGATCGACTTCAACTGGGGTGGCTGGTACATGAGTTACGCATGACTAACGACAGTTGTAAATTAACGTGAAACAATGGTTGGTGTAGGGAGCGGGTCCGAAGACTGGGAATAGTCAAATCAAGACACGGGATCAGTTCAAGAAATTAATGATTATTGTTCTGAGTCATATTGAAAACGGAGACTAATTTGTTAGGTGTCCATGCGATTATTGTGAAGAATGGGAGTGGTGGTTGATCGACATGTCTTCGAATAATCGATCACAGTGACATAGAAGCACTCACTTTCTTTTGTGCAAGATATTGATTTTCAGTATTCTTGTATAGATATCATACTTTTTTGAACGACAATCACACTTAAACGTTTCTCGTTATGATTGCTAGTACATTACTTAGACCCATTTGCTGATTACCTTGTCGATTCCATCTTTTTTGTGGTAATGTGATGTGGAACTCTGGGCTTACAAGCATTTGTGCTAGGATTTTTTGATGACAGTGACCAATCTACTGATACGCAATATAATATGGAACAGTAACCAGGGTCAATGTTATGGTCTGTCATCCAACTGCTAAACTGAAGATATAAAAGAATATTGTTCTACCTTCCGCCAACTGTTTGTAAGTAATCATTTCTTGTTCAAGCAGTCTATTTTGTCCTTTTTTCTCTGTACATATAGAACTGTGTGATACTTGTCTACCACCTTCCGCTCCATCAATTACATATTTGAATCAGGCTCTAGATTCATTGATTTCTTCCAAATATGATGATCATCATGCTTCAATGTGTTCTACAAATACAACAGTCAGCCGAACGTCTGATAATATATGCAAACCGAAATCAATGATATCCAATTCGGATCAAAAGTTTGGGATATTACGTTGTTTAATTTGTAAATTTCGAACAAATAATCATAAATCACTTATTGAACATCTTATCGGTAGTCCACCATTAAATCATACAAAATGTGGTCTATGCGGCCAATTGTTATTTGCTAATCAACCATCACTTTGTTCAGTTAAAGCGCATCTACTCTTACATTTAGGCTGTTTTTTAATGTGCCCTCAATGTGGATTTACGGTAGGTTTATTTATTTAATTATTTTTCAATTGTGCGCAAAATACAAATCTGTTTATTGACTTTCTACAAGATCATCATAGAGATCCATTCTAATGGTTTCATGTTTTTTTTTAATCATAGTTTGTCATCCGGTATAGAATAACTTGATTGTGATTTTCAACAAGACAATAGTATCATTATTAAATAAAAAAATAAAAAAGATCACATTATTTCAGATCACAAATCATGTTCTTCAAACCTCATATATCAAATATAGAAAGTCGGTTACTATTCAGTACTTAAAACATTTAAATCAGTCTTTCCATTGTTAGATTCCTGGTTTGGGATCCCATCTTATATATATATATATATATATATATATATATATATATATATATATATATATATATATATATATATATACCTTGGACATTATTTGTGAGAATATCAGTTAAACAAATGTACAAAATCTTGCTTATACACAACCATTCAAATGTTCATAGATATTCGTCGCCTACTTAATCTTATCCTGTATAAATTACTGTTCGTGAAAGAACGGATTTCTTCACTTCAAGAAAAAGTTTTGATGCTTTTTGATTCCATCCAATAAAAAGATCATTTCAAACTCATTAATACATCTGAATGTATTTCTGTACACTACTGATATTGTCTGTGAGTGAAGAAAAATGAGACAGTCACGTCTTCAGGTGTCACTATTGTTGTCAATGAAAATCTATAGAAATAAACTGATTTTTCTACAGTTCAAAGCTTACTTAGACAAATGATCGAACTGCAGACGAAAATATCGACGGGACTCATATGGTTCCTGTACTGTACTGTTGTATACTATTAGTATTTAGTTCAAACGAATCCCATGATCTTGATATCAGTATTTCAATGTTGGCTGATTTATCCCTATAGTATAGGCCCATCAAATAACCTGAAGTTGATGGAGTTTTTTAGCCGAAAACACTTAGTCATTTAACTCAAGACTGTCTAAACAATATTACATTCAATCAGCATCTGGAAATGTGTTCTAATAACAGACGAAAATCATTGAACCTTGGTTCTTATAGAATGCTTCTTAAGCTCTTCTTTTCATCGTTCGCCTGAAACTTAGGTTTCTTGATTCTCACACTCTCCTAATGAAGACAATTTTCTTCTCTCATTATTTTGCGAAGGCTCCTGTCAGGCGGTCTGTGAATCAGATTTACCCGAATGCAGACCCTATAAACATGCGGCATTATATAACAGCATTTCCAGTGAAAGAGTAAACTACTCATCCAACTTAATACAACATTCTAGATATTCCATAACCCTCCTCCTATGGTGACGAATATAAATAAGCGTTTTCAATATAATATTTTTGTTCATTTAGTGCATAATTTTTAACGTCAATTAATTATTTCTATACCTTCCCTTTTCTCCTTAAATATTTTTTAATTACAAACATGATAATAATGAATGAAGCCTCCATTACATTTGCCGCCAGACTGTGCAGAATTATGTTTACGTGTTCACCTGCGTTTTGTTTGTTATCATTTCAATTTGAAAGAAATATTTCGATGTAATTATTGTGATGGGGATGGTAAAGCTTATCCTACTTATGATAACTTGTGTCACCATCATTTGGGACATCATGTAAAGCGAATATATTCATGTTTATGGTGTGCAAAACAAACACGTAGTAATAATTCTGAGAGTCATAATAATAATAATAATAATAATACAAATTATACTAGTACCAAAGCTTTTCAGATATCAGAGACAACAGGTGATAATGCCTCAATTCCAGTTCATGACGTCTTAAAAAGAAAACTCACATCTGCAGCATATCATACGGCTTCTATTCATATGAATAAAGAAAATATCAAATTGACATGTTCCACAACTACATCCCATACAAATTCACGTTCTAATTCCTGTAAGTTGTGGTTGTTTTATTTTTCCATTAAAAAATTAACTACTAGCCCAAGTGATGTCTCAGTGATTGTAAAGCGCTGGGTTTTTAACCACTAAATATATTTAGAATGCTATTCTGTCTACTTGGGTTTGAGAGTTATGTTCATAGGTATACTTACTTACTTACTTACGCCTGTTACTCCTCGTGAAGGAGCATAGGCCGCTCACCAGCATTCGCCACCCAGCCCTATCCTGGGCAATCCTTTCCAGCTCCTTCCAGTTGTTATTCATCCTTTCCATATCTGCTTTTATTTCCCGACGTAATGTGTTCTTTGGTCTTCCTCCTTTCCACTCCCCTTCAAGATTCCAAGTTAGGGCTTGTCTCGTAATGCAGTTTGACGATTTGCGTAGTGTATGTCCTATCCATTTCCATCGTCTTTTCCTAATTTCTTCTTCAACTGGAAGTTGGTTTGTTCTCTCCCACAGAAGGCTATTGCTGATGGTATCCGGCCAATGGATGTTGAGTATCTTGCGAAGACAACTATTTATAAATACTTGTACCTTCTTGATGGTGGTTGTTGTAGTTCTCCAAGTTTCAGCTCCATACAGTAGAACTGCCTTGATGTTCGTATTGAAGATTCTCACTTTGATATTGGTTGAAAGTTGTTTTGAGTTCCATATGTTCTTCAACTGTAGGAATGCTGTCCTTGCTTTGCCAATCCTCACCAAATAGATATGCGCCACACAAATCATCCGATTTGTGTGAGGGCTGGGATACTGCCCTGGTGCCCAAACCGAGGCAGGTACAGAAGAATGTTTCTCAGAGCTTATAGTACATAAGCCTCCACCACTTAAACTTGTGTTACTACTTGTGAATTTCACAATTAGTTTGAATATCACCGTTCTTAAAGAGCCGTTCTCTAATTCACAACTCAAAAGTAATATAGTCCAACAACATTGCCTATCACTGGGTCATCAATTCACAAATTACTTATGAGTTTCAACTATCAGGAGACTCATTTTTGACCGCATCTCATCAGCTAGCATCAAGAAACATGAGCTAAAACATCGAGTCAATCAAACTAAAAGTCGTAAATAGGCAAGCAATTGGACGTTGATACTATTAAGAATGTAACAATGGTGATAGATTATCTCGCAAATATTCACAGAATATTTGAATGATCTTTTAATTTCTTTGGATGTTTGACTGATTATTAATGAGAGATTTGGATTATCAAACAAACAACTATCCTCAGTATTGGATTGTGGAGATTTTTGAGTTTCATTGGAATAATGAACTGATCAATGTTAAACCACTATTGAAAACCTGGAAGCACTAGACAGTCGTTTCGCCTTAATATAAAACTCCTCGGCGGTGCGTCTCCACAACCGCAGATGTGGGGTTCGAACCCAAGACTTTCGGCTCATGATTTCAATGAACTTTAACAATCTCCACAACTCGCTACTGACAATTATGTGCTCACCAGTGATTAGAATCGAGAGGGAATTCTTGGAGTTCTAGTTAAAAGCCGTGATCAATGAAGCTGATGATTATCAGGTGTGTGGCGGTTGCCCACTAAAGACAATGGAAGATGGTCGCGCAATGTCGTAAATTGGTTGAAGTTAGATATTGATATCGCTGGATGTTGACTTAGTGGTTTAGAAGTTAAGTTTTTTGTGCACGAGACTGGGTTTGAGTCTCGCGTCCATGGTCTTGGATGCGTACTACTGGAGAGTCCTATATTGAGAAGAAACGGTCGGCAGTTATCAGATGAAGCTTCTGCTTCTAACTCATTGGCACGCTCCGACTACCAGGCTTCTCGCAAGCTTTTCCCAATTTTATTGCGTAATACTCATCGTTTTCGGTCAAACTCACGGTCATTCTGCGTAGACTGACAGGCTTCAATGAGTTGTAAGGAGCCTGAAGAAACACAGTGCTAGTAGATTGGATGTTTCGCGAAGCCCAGCTCGGTTTGATATTTAGTTGCAACAGGAACTGCAACCAATTTACTGACATCAATCCGTTTATGACGATAAATTTGTTGGCCACTGAAAAGTAAGGTAAGATTAGCACAAACAAGGTCATGATCAGAGTCCAAATAGGTACTCCAAAAGAAGCGGCAGTCTTGTACATAACCACGCCAATGGTAGCTGATCGCGATGTGATCAATCTGAGTCCAGGTTTGAGATGCAGAGGAAGCACACCAGTTGTCACATCGGTGATGATTGTGCCGGTAGTTAGTGTTAGCCAGAAAAATGTTGTAGTCTGTGCACAGTTGCAGTAGACGATCACCGTTATCTATCCTGCGACCAACAACTCTCCATCGGCCACCCAAACGACTCTCACCCGTGCCTAGATGCCCGACCTGAGCATTCAAGTCGCCGGCTAGTACTACAATATCTGTCGAACGCACTTTCTGTAGAAGAACAGTTAACTGGTGGTAAAATCCACCCTTGATTGCATCCGGGCTGTAATCTGCCGGGGCATAAGCGGAGATGACGAAAAGAGATCGTTTCTCACACCGACTTCTCACTTTGATGGAACTTTCTAATCTAACAGCACATAACCGACTGTTAATGGGGATCCAATCGATTTGTGCTGCCTTATCTCTAGCGCTTAGTGCGACACCAGCGCCAACAAAACCAAACGACATTGTCACAGGGTCCCTGAAGAAACGCACGTAAAACAAGCTTCTTAAAGCGACAGATGGAGAGCGAGTTTTTAGTACTTCACCAGAGTCCTGAATGCGGGTCTCGGATAGATAACAGTCATCGATATTAAGACTTTCCAAAGACATAGCCAGCCCTATCTGTTGTCCGATCTGCATTAGTATGCGAAAGTTGAAGGAAGCCAGTTTGAATGCTAAACATGATTTCAAAAGGTTTTTCACTATTCGTATTCGGTGGTAGCATTCAACTTTCAACCAGACAATGACTCGAGGATAGATAGGACAGGGTTTCCATTATAGGCGAGCTGCTGTATAAGTCGTAAAATAAGGATACACAAAGTGAAAATAGAAGTGACGTAGTACATAAAAAATGAATTGAAACGAGAATAGTATTTCTCGTATTAATTGTTATTTCATTTGATTTGTGTATGGGCTGTAATAATACCCAGGTGTGCAGACCGAAGCAGATGGTTTTCTTAGGGGTCCACAAAACGGTTGAGTAACATCAGGAGATGCATTTGCATGGTATCCAGTGACTAACGATTGATTCATGCGCCATTTGTTCCTTCAGGATCCACTGATTTAGAGGATATCTTTACGTTTAAACTCATGTCTCATATGATAATGCAAGTGAAAATAGAATATCACAACTCACCTCAATAGATGTACATAACAACAATACTTTCAATAAAACCCGAGTAATACACTTACAGTTAGATTGACTGTAACATATGAGTCATAAAAAATCAAAATAAATCGATACATTTAGACAAAGACTGTATAATAATACCCTAAAACAAGCTATTTTGATTATTAGAATAGGAATGACCACCCACTTTTCACACATAAGCGGTATTTGTATTGTGTTCTATACTTATGTATATCCATTACCGATTTCTTTGATAGCCATTCCTGACTTGAGTTATTTACATTCTGATTTACGCTACTGAGTGAGATCATTGTAATTTTGCCAAATGATGTTAATATTAGCCTACGCATATGAACTTTTGTTTAGCTTAGTCGTAACACTTGTTATGTTCTATGGCCCGCCAAATATCACGTGACAAAATCGCCAATCTGAATACCGACTCTTGTGGCCTTATTCCTATGCTAAATCAATGACGCGTCAACCAGTAGTAATAGCCTTTCGTCAACTCTGAGCCATCGTTGGTCCCCTGTATCGCAGCTTCTCGCCTAGCCCTACCTGTTCGGTCCAGAGCACAATATCAGCTTACACTGTATGAATAATATATTTCAGACATACGTGGTTTATATACATGCAAACCAGACCGCATCACACCATAAAATAAAAAGTAATAATCATAGAGGATCAAGCCAAAGGTAGCTGCGAGTACAGGAGACTGTGTAACTAATAAATTGAGGGAAAAAATAGGAGTAGTAAATTGTATAACAGTAGCCAATAGGTCAAATAAAAGCTTATGATAAAATAGAAATATAAGTGTGTATAATGTAGTTTCTGAATACTTATACAACAAGAGTATATATAATAAATAAACAGTTCCCATAAGTTACCCATAATTTAATTTTCGGATTTGACAACACTCTTGTGTAGCGGTGTGCAGTCAATGTTAGATTCTGATAGGGCTATATGTTCGTACTCGTTTATCTCCAAATTCTTTCGACTAGTAGTCAGTACTGCATCACTGCTCCTTATGCAAAATATAAATTTAAAGCTCGAATTTATAAACCATTATTTGATTAACATGTTAAAGTTCCTACAAGATTATTGCAAATATAGTTTCCCAATGTTGTGCCTGTGCTAACAAAATTAAATGTAGGTTTTGAACGTCTTATCAGTTTTGTTTAATCTGTTATAACGATGGTCGAATTTAAATTGATTTTTTTTACTCGATTTCGAATTTCTTTTCGATTTTTTTACGTGTTACCAAAATGATAACGTCGAAGCAGCTCATGGTTCGGTCAATAGTTCAATTCCTAATATGACTCAAAATATTTTTCGTTCCAATTCCATCCAAGAATTTTTATGTCATTTCAAAAGTGTTCATTGGTCTTCTATAGTTTCTAGTGCTATTGAAAAAACTAACAAGTGCGGTGCTGTCCAACATGAAATTGAACAATCATCAGATAACATCTTAACTATTGATGTTCCAGAGTCGCCACCACCACGTTCTCTTCATCCCGCTGTCGTTGTTGTAGGTAATAAACAAACATCTTCAGTCAATAATGATGTTCGTAAAGTTAGTAATTGTGTTGGTAATGATGGTGTTACTTCCTCAGATCCACAAAAATCATCCAAATACTCGGATATTATACAAATGATAGATGAAGTACAAAAGATTCACACTAATGACAATAATAAAAATGTTAAAAATAAGTTATCTATAAATTTAGCTCCAAAGGTTGATTATGGTATAGAACTTCAATGTATTGAATGTTCTAAAGAATTTAGTACGAGAGAACACTATATGGAACATTTTCAAGTGAGTGGTTGTTTGATTTTTTGTGAAACCAACATAGAGGGTCTTGTAGAAATTATTCACTATTTTTCAAGTTTTACATTATGGACTAACGACGTTTAACAAAATAATCATTTGAAATTAGATAGAGCTGGACCCAATATTTCATCACCTATCACCTAGAACCTTCGAGCTTTGGAGGCCACTGCGTTACTCTTCAGATGATTGAATTGTAGTGTATTCAATGGTTTCGTTTTCTCGTGGACCATGAATTACCTTTCTTGCTATTGTTATAGCTTCTACTTTTCAGATTTGTGTTTAGTGCAAAAACTTCGTGTTCTTATAAATTGTTAACTTACTGATCTTCCATTTAACATTCACATTGATTCGATTGTTCAGTACCAGTAATCTACGAATTACTTATAATCTAACCAATAAACTCGCGAACTTCATTTTTCAAACTTTAAGATGGATTAATCGTATCACTTTCATAGTACTCCCCATTTATGGGAATACACTTGCCCAGTATCCGTTGCCATTGTTCTCTGTCTGATCCACAGTACTGTCGTCATATGACCATTTTGCATTCTGGAAACATAAAGAAATCTTGAGGTGTTGTGTGTTTTTCTTCTGATTAGTAGCCAGGTTAAAATTGAATTCTGAATCATCCGTATAGTTTGCAAATGCTGTCGAATCAATATGTACTTTCTCCTAAGACTTTTCATTTCTGCTGTTGTATTTTTGGCGTGCGAGATCGTGGACGCGCACTGCCGAGGAGTCCCATGCTGGGACGAAACAGTCATCCTATGCTTTCAGGTTTTCATTGATGGGCTAAAATTGACCAGTTCATCATCTCAATAGAAACCAAGAACCAGAACATAAACAATACACAATCAGGACAACTTTAATTCCTCGCCGATAGCCTACGTTTTCCTAAAAATAGAAATAAACAATTTTGACATTTTTCTCTCCTATTATAGTGATAAAAGACAGCAAGATATAAGCACATTGTATTGAGTTTTCTAGCAAGCTTTTCCTCATACTTATTCTATTAATTACAACAATCAGATATGGGTTTCGTGGAGGTTAAGCGTTCGCGCACGAGACCGAAGGTCCTGTGTTCGAATCTCGCGAGGCGGGGTCGTGGATGCGCACTGCTCGGGATTCCCGTACTCGAACGAAACGGCCGTCTAGTGCTTCCAGGTTTTCCATGGTGGTCTAGCTTCAGTTGACTCATGAATTCAACTATTAAATTACAACAATGTTTAGACATACATTTATCTTCAAGATTTTTTAAGACTTAAAGTACTTTATGTGCAATATACTGAAGACGGCTGGATTTGATTTTATTTTGTAGGGAACTAGTTGTCATATCTCTGAGAATAGTATCCATGCAATTCAACTAAACATTAATTCATACACACACACGCACACTACACGTCACTTTCTTAAGGTTTTATGCTTAAGTCATTATTCAATTTTGTATTGAATTCTGGAATAGTTATTTAGGCGTTTTCCTACAGACAAGATATAAAATATCAGTAGTATATTTTGTATAAATTACCTGCTTGCTAATACGTTTGTGACAGTTTCAAAACGTTACCATCGAACATTGAAGTCTCGATAAATTCTTGATTGGTATAAGATTACCTATACCGTTCATTTCTTTTTATGGTGTTGAATTTTTTTGTCCAACATTCGCACTTTTGAACTACCCTTAAACTTTTGACATATAAGCAAAGATGGCTGGTGGGCAGCAGTGGAATCCAAAACGCGCGTTTCGTCCTATTTGGGACTCCATACATCTTTGCTTAGAATGCTTGTGAATTAATGTAATATCGAGGCAACCCGTACAGTATGCACATATGCTAATTAGAGACTGATCAATTGCAGTCCTAAACATCAATGGGAAAATTCAAACAAACAATACAAAATTAACTTTTGACATATAATTTCCATGTAAACATTAAGAACACGAAGTTCAGCGATAGAATCACTTTTCAACGAATTTATTATCAAACAGTACAATCGTATTGATATATGTGAAAATCTTCGTTAAAGTATTAGTTTCGTAAGGACATATGAACAAGGATTAAACATGATGATATAATAGAAAGATTATAATGCTAGATTATGTAATGTAGATAATAACAATAAAAGATTGTGTGTGTGCAAATAGAAAGTGCCTTGTGAAATTAATAAGTTAGCAACGAATTATAATATGGATGACGTATTATGATTAAGATATTTTCGTTACAATAATTAAAAGTAATAGAAGGGCAAAAATGAAATGATGTCAAAAACAAATATGAATAAAATCATGAGTATATGAACCATATATATAGAAAGATGAGTGATAATATTTTCTAACATGAGATATAATAACTATGATTATAGCTTAAGGCCAAGGTAAAAATAAGACCTACTTCTTTTGTACTCACAGTTCTGGCTTCAACTCTTGGATGACAAGAGCTTCTGCTGTTTTAAGGAGTTGGATTCGAAGGAATCTAGATAGATTTGAACGAACTATATTAACAACTTTTAAATCAACCTATGGTTCAGTAGAGTGATTAGAGCTGATTAGATGTTCAAGACTAGAACTTCTAAATGCTTTCTACTCACCCTTGTAAAACTACACTGTGACATGTTCTTGTATCCGAGTTGAAAACAAGCACTGACTATGCCGTATGTACCTTGCTCCACCTACTCCAATACTTTCAAACTGCCTGACATCAGAATGATAAGTGAAGTTTTCATTCGTTGAATTCATCTTGTAACACCACTCAAGCTGCCAAGAAAAAGCTGATTATAAAGTCTGTTTTACATACATAAAGTTTGCTGATCATCAGTTTTATGATCACCCCGTTAATTCTCACGCGTTTCTTTCCTTTCAACCCTTTCTTTCCCTATGCTATACAACTCTTAACCATTTAGATGTGGTAACACTACACATGATCATCCCTCCACTACTTTGCCCTATTTTTATTATGTCTGGCTGCCTTTAATACTTATGGTATGTACTGTTCGATTAACGGTAGATGTGTACTGAATCAATCAATAGGGTTTTCACCGTGATATGTCCATTATTATTGTGTTACAATAACCATGCTAGTGAATTAGATATTGGTGAACTTTTGCACCTATTTCATCATAAATGCTCTAAAAAGTATCATTTTCAAATCGGAAAGGTTATTTGAAAAATTGGTGTAGAGAAATTCAATTAATCAAAATAAATCATGTGGATAAAATGCATAGTAGGAGAAATTGATTCAGATGATCACATTAAAATCACCCGATGTTATTATCATCATGTGTAATAAGCAAGGTGTCGTCAGAGTCTATTTATGGTAAGCATCTCATGCAAATTATGTAAATTGGGAATGGGGAAGGGCAGATATAAATATAATTATTAAAGATATAGATAGAAAGACAGTCCAGCTCAGTTTTTCTCCATCGGTTTTTCTAAATAAATTTATTTTGGATTGATTGAAGTTAGACGTTGACATCATTAGATGCTGGCTCAACTTTATAGAGGTTAAGTGTTCGCATGTGAAACCGTAGGTTCCGGGTTCGATTCCTGCGTGTAGAGCTGTGAATGGTCACTACTGAGGAGTCCCCTACTTGAACGGGACGGCCGTCCCGTACTTCTAGGTCTTCAGTAGTGGTCAGTTCGTGATTTCATTAGTGAAAATTTATTTGTTCCAATTTCTCTCCGTTTTTTTGTTAATTATAACTTGTTTTCTGCTCACTCCACTCTACCGTCCTTTACTTCTCTAGAAAGAACATGCATCAAAATGTAATCGTGGATGCTTTTATCGTTGTTTTGGTGCATGTAAACGTCTTCTACCAAATATTCATGATTTTCGTGAACATTTAGCTGAATGTCGTCATGCCCAATCTATATTTTATTCAACATTTGGTCATTTCTATAACAAAGATAAAGCATTTGATTTGTTCAATGTTGATTCATTGCCAATAAATGTAGAGAATAATAATAATAAGCATACAATTGATGAACGCCAAGAACAATTAAATGTAAATAATACTGATCGAATATATTCAAGAAACGTGCATAAAATTAATAAACATAATATTGATGATAATAGTAATACTATACAGGGTTGTAAATTATGTTTCTGTGCTTATTGTGGAATTGGTTCACAAAAAAAATCTATGATGAATTCTTCGTCTATAAATTTACCAGATCCAGTGTTACCTAGTTTAGAATCCTGTACATCAGATGACGGTAAGATCTGTATATGTATATGTCACATTTGTATTAGGATTTTAATATAATTTCAGTTCATTATTATGCTTTATATTCTTTTGATTCCCCTGTTTGTTGTGTGACTTAACGATTATTATATAATTTGAATGTACATGGACATTAAAACATGATTCATTTTATAACCTTTATGGAAAAAAAAGTGTTACTTAGGCAATTTTCCTAAAATATAAGGCTTCAGAGAGCATGAGTAACAAAGATTGGAGACTAATCACATTTTCACAAATTCAGTGTAATTCAATACACAGAATTATGCGATAAACTTAAAGCTGATTAAATAATTTAATATTTATGTAACAATTCTCCTATAATCCATTTCGATTACCGTTTAATCTTGGTTAAGCCCTTTTTTATTGACTTATTTAACAGACAATTTTATTCGGACAACAACAATTCATTTATTTTTTTTGTACTATTTTGATCACTATTTTGTCTGTATAAATGTGTACTTTTGATCACATACAACAACCTACGATATATATCTGTCTCTAGCTTAAATGTTAATCGCTTAAATATCACTCGATGATTCATTCTCTTTATGATGTATATGTGTGCTGGATTCCTAATAATAGCCTTTGCCTTGCATTGAATCGATTTGACTATAAATTCATCTCTCTCTCTCTCTCTCTCCCACATACACACGCACACACACACACATTAGCCTCTCCGCTCCAAATCCACTCGATATGCTTGTAACTTCGTTATGTGTGCTATCCGTTGATAAATTGTAGTCGCCCTTCTTTTATTGCCTTCTGAATTCAAACGCCTTTGGGAATTTATATGCTAAAGGTTATCAAGGTGATTAATTAGCGAAGCTAAGCCACTACATTTACGCATTCTATACTATCCTACTCAACTGAAGTTACGTGTAATTGTTTGTATTCTCTCTTCATTGTTGACAATAATTACAGTTGAAATGAATTGATGTCGAAATATACTAAAACACCTGTAACTAAAATGTAATGTTACTGTCAATAGAAACTAATCAACTCCAGCATCGCTTAAGACCAACCCCCTACAATTATAATATAATAATGTGAACTAATTTTAAACTAATCAATGCCTATCTGTACACAATAGCTGCTTTGTGGATGTAACACTTTGAAGTATAAAGCAATAACTACTTTGTTAGAACTTGAATGTATGCATCAAATATTAGACTGGAATTAAATCGAATTGACCGAGTCTTATGTAGTATGAAATACGCATCATAGATTCCATTCCTAACCATAATCTTTAAATCAATGTACTGAAAATGGCTAATCAAGGATTGTATACATGATAACATGATTATTAATATTTTTCCATACAGCAGGCCACCATTGATTTAACGTACCACTTCAATCCAAAAACTAGAATAGTATTTTTGGTAAAAATATAATATACTGATGCTCAAAATGAAGACGACGCAACATGTATTTTAAGCGGAATTTGAAGTGAAAATCGAGAGTATTTGGTTATTAAAATGTTTGAAATCAATGAAAATATCTATTACGCAATCAGAAAGGGAATTTTAACTAGTACATGAACTAAATTTCGAAACATACTTGATCTGAAGGTAAATTGTGTGTTAAAGTACCAGGTGTTGTTTATTGTAAAAAGAAGGTTGGTAAAACATTGCGTTATAGTGTATATCAGTTGGTGACGAAAACCTAACTGGAGTGATAACCCTAACTCACAACACTCGCCTGACTCCTTGTGTGTATATTCATTTATGAACTACCTTTTCATAATTATTTCCATTACTTTATATTGTTAATTGTTGTAGAACTAGACACCGTTTCCTGATTGGTTAATAAATCGCCCAAGGTCATCTGAGCATTATATATTTATCGTATTTTTATCATTTTAATTAAAACACTAGCATTTTAGCCTCAAATCTATCGCTCCAGTGCACCAGCTTACCTAATTAGATTGCTGTTATAACTTGTTGGTTTGTGCCCCTATCACTGTATAGCGTAATTATATCGCCAACTATAGAGCAGTGAATTATCGATCGGACCAATGACACATAAACCCTGTACGAGCGGTCTAGAGCCCTTATCGATCCTGATTCCCGCCTAACCCTGCCTGTTAAGTCCAGAACATCAATCTCAGCCTCTGTGATTTGAATCACGTATTTCAAACATACTGGGTTTATATACCAAGTAAACGGGGACTACATTGTACCATAAAATATGAAACAACATTTATACAAGATTTAGCCAAATGTGTCTGTAAATAAGGGAGATAGTAATTGATAGACAGGGCATAACTCAAGAATGGTAAATCATATAATAATAGTTCATATGTCAAAATAAAGCTCATAATAAGAGGGACACGAATATGAATAGTTTAGTTACTTAACAATTATACGATAAAAATGTACGTATAGTAATAGTCCAGAAATAGATCCCACCAGTTACCATTCATTATTCTCATCGGGATAAAACAATTGCTTAATAAGTCGAATGCAAATGATCTTTCACACTATTGATTCTTTCTTTTCCACAGGTAATTCTATCCCAAATATCAGTAACGTTACAACGAACACCACAAGTAACAATAATGATGATAATAGTAATAGCCAATTGAATAATGGTGTTAACGCTGTCCTACAATCACAGTTTTCAGTAGATAGTATCAGCACTGGTTATTTATCGGAAGATGATCATACTGGATTTGATACAACTAAACAACCAATGCATAACAGCACAATTAATAATCATAATACTAATATCCAGCGATATAATCTTTATACACCAAAATATTTTTCTAATTTAATTAACTTACATATTCATGAGAATAATTGTCATTATTCAAGACGAAATAAATTAATTGCATGTCCATGGTGTCATATACGTATGACTTGTAGAAAAAAGGATAAAACTCGTGCTACCCATATGCATTTATTCTCACATCTTCATGAACATTGGTAAGTTTAATTAGTTTGAATTGGGTGGTTTGTTTGATGGTTCACTGTTTTTCACATATTTTTCTCGTTTGTTTGTTTGTTTTCGGTTAGAATTGTTGAACTCAGTAAGTAGATCAATCTGTTGGTCTATTAATATTAACATGAATTGACTAACTAGTTCTTCTTGGATTTCAATGGCATCCAACTGAAATCAATCATAATTAACATAGAGGATTTGATAAGAAAAAATTATTCATCTTTACAATTTATTACCTTCCACATATTATACGTACATTAATGCAGTTAGATCATCAAATTTCTCTTCAACTATGTATGATTGATATTTGTAATGAAGTATAAATATGTTAAACTTTATTCTATATATGGCATCATGTATACATGAATGTATTTCAGTACTTCTGAAGTTAACACAGGTGTTCACCACTCTCCGTATGACAAAGTTACACAATTTTTTTGGAACAAAATCAATTTCTAAGAAAAATGTTTATAACAAACGTTTTTTGTTTAGATTACATAACTATATGATTAACTGTTTCCCTAATACTAAGCGTTCTTGTTAATCATCCATTAGATGATCTTTTTCGTTGGTAGATTAAAATTACTATGTTTATATATCTATTAATCTTATTATTATAGTGTGTACTTGACTTTGGGCCATATTCTAAGTGTAAAGGCTAGTAACACTAGTACATTATTGTCCAAATTGAAATAGGTGGGTGGAGCCATTATTCGAGCCTGATATTTAGTGAGTGAAAATTGAATGGATTAATCGTGCACGGAATTACCGCTCCACTAAAATTCCTTGATATTTATTATTATTATTATTATTATTATTATTATTATTATTATTATTATTATTATTATTATTATTATTATTATTATTATAAGCTTTATTCAACATTAAATTTTTGTACAACATAGAATTCTCAGCATAGGGAATTTCAACAAGTTTCCTCTTCTTATATCTTGATCGATTGTGACGATAAATTTTGAGTGATGACCAGTTAGATGTTCGGAGTTCGGTAATCCACATTTGATCAATGTTCATTCTTTTCAATGCATATTGCCAGCCACCATGATGTCGCTGATTGTACCTTTTTGTATCCCGTATAGCGAAAGGTTGTAAACTTTGCATAAAGTCGCCTGAATAGATTGTGAGTTCAATAGACATAATGATGTGCTAAAACAAACAACAAAACAGATAACTTGATGAAATATCTAGATCGGAGGAATAGGTAGCCCAGATATTCAAGCAGGCCACCAATTGTTGTACTGAATTCCGTAGATTAAAAAAAAACTCCATAAGTTAACTGTTGTTCACTTATGTGCATCAAATAAAATGTAAATATATACTGATGATCAACTGATGATTCATGTTCAAAGTAGGTTGTCTACTCGCTCATGAGTAAATAAAACAGTTTTGTGAAAAAAAATTTTTAATTCAAGGAGAGATACATATTTAAGAAAAAAACCACTTTGTCTACTCCAATGTGAACAATTTTCATAGTTTATCACATATTGTTTCATTCAGTTATGCAACTTTGATTGTCTGGTTGGACAGTTTCACAGATTTGTAGCGTACTAAATTATGTTAGTGTGACAAAATCACTTGTCTTAAATAGCTAACTTTTTCTAGGGTTTCCAGGTATTACATTTTATTCATGAACTTGTTATGTATATATTCACATTTGTGTTACATCCACAGTTGAGTAGTTATTTGGTCACAGTAGCTAACTGGATAACGCAATGGCGTTTGAAGCGAACATTACTGGGTTTGAATCCCTTAGGGAACGTCAACTTCAGCCGACCAGTCCCAAATAGGACAATAGTCACGTCCTTCACTCCACTGATAGTCACACGTCATCTGTACTGTATCAATTTGTGTCATAATGGTTATATCCAAGCAATTCTCACATACACTAACCAAGACTGATCAAATTTCAGTCAAAAATATCAACAACGGAATAATCCAAATGATTTCAAATTGAATCCAAGTATTTAGACAAAATTATATTAACAGAATACTACAAAGTATTCCGAGATTATTTTCCATGATATGTTAATTCTCACCCCAATAAAATCATGTGATCGAACTTGATTGTTTAATGGGCTTTGATGACATTGAGTTGTATTTTGAGCTTTTCTGTCTACTGAGAATATAGTCATTGTTTGTTTGCTTTTCTTTGCTCTCTCTCTCACCCATATACACATACTCGTCTTTTTTTCTGTTTATTTATCCTCCTTTAAGTATGGCTACTTGGTGTCTTGAACGTATGCGTAAGTGGAATGAAAATGCCAAAGGTTAGTTTTTGTGTACCTTTCTGACAACCATTGTTGTATCTGAATTATTCTTGAGTATATTATATGTGAACAATGAAAATGACATAGTTTCTTGATGATAAAAACAAGAAGTACGAGAATTAATAAAATGGTTGAACTACACAGTCTACAGTCTGTAAACAACATAGTAATGACTTGTAAGCTTAATGTGTGCGATTCTGTGAATGTTGACTAATGAATCATAGTTTAATTATCATTATTCATATAGTTGTATCATATTGTTGTCAGCGGTTTAGATGTTACACTTTCTAAAATATACCAAATCACTATGCAAATGAGAAGACAGAGATGGTGGAGATTTGTAGCTCAGGTGGATGATTCACGTGAAGTTTTGTTTGCTAATCTGGATGGTTTAGTCGTGGAGCTTTCATTGTTCTTCTGAACAACATTATCGGCACATACTTCAGGTAGAAGTTGACTTCACTGAAGAAGACTGAGAGGAATATGACTTTGGCGTAATCCCTTAATTGACTTTCTACAATAGTATGCTCTCGTTCATAATTTCTTATTTATTGCATAACCTTTAGACGGCATATATACCGTGTTTAACATTTTTTCCCTGTATATTTTGTGATAATGTCAACTCATGCAATGTTTATTATACTCCGTTTTGTTTATAAGTTCTGCCAAATTGTGTATGTGGATTGGCTTTGCTCGATTCTCCACAGGCTATTTTATCACATGCCGGAGTTCACTTATTATATACAAACAAATATAATTCTTCCAATATTATCCCAGATTCACTACAACATCGTTCATACAAACACTCGTTGTCATCATCACCATTAAAATCCCAACTAAATTCTTCTGAAGAATGTTTATTACCCAAACCTAGTGATCATATTCCCTGTCCCATAAAAATCTATCGACACGTAAGTTATGTAAACTTGTTTTAATGCATTACTTAGTCAATCGAATGTAAATATTGAATATCTTGAAATCATTTTGTGATTGTTTCCATACTAAATTATATTTCATTATGTAATCAAACATTATACTAAGTGAGAAAAATAACCATACATCACAAAATGACTATCATTTTCCGTTCATAATCTTTATTATTTTGAAAAATGTGGATTTCCTTTCTTGCTCATACCTTGTTAACATGTAGAATAGACGGAATGTAGCTAGCATTTGAATTTAGGACGGTTGTTTCATGTGAATAACCATCTCATAGCCGATACGGGTGCGGGTGGGTTTCCCGGAGTTCTGGTGAGTGTCTAATCCGTGTCAGTTGGAGACCGTTATCCACTTCAGACAATAGATGGAGGGTTACAGAAAATCATGGATCGATCGAAGTTAGATATTAACACCTTTATAAGCCAACTCAGTGGTCTGGAGGTTAGGCGTACGCGCGCGAGAACGAAGGTCCTGGGTTCGAGCCCCTTTTGTATGTGCTTGTGGATACGCACTGCTGAGGAGTCCTATAGTAGGACGAAGCCGCCGTCCAGTCGAATCTCAAACCTTATCAACTTCATTGTTTATTCACAAGATGTTTTTTGTTGTAACACAATAATATGTATACATTCATACGACGACATATGTTGGCACTCTCCGTGTTTATTTTTCTCTCAAAATAGTTTCTTTTTTAATCATTAGTATGTGAAAAATGAATCAGGCATGAATTAGCCAATGAATGAGGTCAAAAGTGCAATCATGTGAAAAATTGCTATTACAACACTATGCATAATATTATATTGTGTGTTAAATATACATTAATTAATTAGATTAGATTATAAAATTACCACGGTATGTATGGTTGGAATATTCTATTCAATTCTCTTTTGTTATTATTTTCTTATTTACTTATTATATATAGATATAGGTGGATAGTTTACATATGTGTTTATAATTAATTGTGTTATCAACTACGGTTGTCGTTGTTGTTAGTGATGATGATGATGATGATGATCGTATTTTCTTTCAAAATCTACTTTTCCATTGGTCATATTATATTATTGTAACATTTCATTGTTTAATGTTAACTATTCATAGGATTACATGAACGTGGACTTGTATAATGAACTAATTTTAGTTAGATATCGAATGAAGATCAAGAGATAGTCAGTAGTTATTAGTATTAATAAGTGGTTTCTTTTGTTTGAATTCTTAAAATTCTTAGTAGTTGTATTGTATATTCATTACACTACCATCAGGTTATAGATTGAATGCAAGAATTCAGAATGAGCATTTTTACTAAATTACCATTCAATAGATTAAATTACTAGCATTAATCAAATTGTAATTAGTAAATAACCTACATCCAGGTTTTCAATGGTGGTCTAACATTCAATAATTTCATGATCTCTATGCAAACTCAACTATCTCCATAAACCACCACCTATACTGATATGTTCTAATTAATAAATATACTAATTAACATTGTGCTCTCCTTTATATAATACACATTTGTGACGGATTTGTTTATAAAGAAAAAAAAAGAGATAAACAACAACAACAAAATACCCGTACGCATGCACGCACGCACACACACACACACTTATAACGAAAGTATTCTATTATTTATGGGTCATAAATAGTTGTGTTTTTTTTGTAAGAACTTTCTGCATTGTGTTGTTGTTTACAATAAGCATGATCATTAAAAAAGAAAGGTTTGTTTAAATAAATAAATAAATAAATAAATAATCTTTTTTTTTAAAAAGAAAAGATAATAAGTTAAACATTCCATTTTATATTTGTTCTGTGTTCTTAATTAACTCACAATGCTGTACTACTGAAATCTGTTTTCTTTTTGTTTTGAAATTTTTGTCGGTCATTTTCGTTTGTTTTTCTTTTCTTTTCTTTTCTTTTTTTTTCTAATGGTGATATATTAATTAAAAAATATATTTAAAAAAATAGAATAACGTTTTGTTTGGCTTACATAAACTTAATTATAACCTATTTTAAATAAGCTAACTAATTAAGCTGTGCATTGTTCTATGTTGACTACAAATATGTTTATCTATCTCTTTCTATTTGTTTATTTTCAATGTACAAGAATACACATATTTCTTACACCATGGTAATATTATGTCAGAAATGAAATATATGGGGTGATTATGAGAAAAAGGTTATAATGAACTGTAAAAACTCAACACAAAATGTTTTTGTATTTTTTCTTCTGGAATTTTTATATGTTTATTGAGAAGGTTATCTTTTACTTCACTGTAAACTATGTTTTTTTTTCTTAGTTAAAGAATTAATTAGTACTAATAAATATCTGGTTTATGTTCTATTCTGTCATTCAACAACAGAATGCACTTATAAATATTTGAATATTCAGGGACTTGAAGGTTTATAAACACTTATCAATATAGTCGATTCTTGAACTATTTTCTTAACAAGTATTCATCAGTCAGTTAGTTAGTCAGTAACAACTTAGAACTTCGTACGTACGTACATCATTTCGAGTTGCCATACCACATTAGCACAGAGATGCAGTTGTTGATTCAAATCGCGTAATGGTAGAAGTAGTATGAGTATAAACATGCTTGCATTGTTGCTTAGAGTGGTCAGAAGACTTTAGATTTTGTCAGGGTCTTCACCAAATAGAACTATATCATTGGCATATTCTAGATCAAAAAGTGAATCTCCCGGTAGAAGTTAAACCCTTGGAAATTTAGACCATGTTGATTGAATCTATAGATTTGGTTTAAACTACAAAAGGTTGTTGTGATCACAATTCCATTTTAACATCAATATATCTTACACGTTATTCTGTGTTATGTGTGAAGCGATTACGAGTTCACTTAGTCTGAGAACGGAACAAAGACTCTGTAACCAAAGACCGATAAGCTAGCTATTCTGACACGTCTCAATCCTGCTAACTAGAGAGAGAAGTCCAAGTTCGAAATGGGGAAATATATTCCGCGAACGGCCAGAAACACAAGCAGTAACAACAGGCACAAATCAAACGTATATATACAGTATAAAATTGTCCTCGGTAAGAGAAATTTTTAAAATATAATGAAAAAATAATGTATTTACCAAGTGAGTTCTGGGGATCTAACATCTTCCAACAAACTGAATTCAAGGAAAATGGATCATTTTTTATAAAACTTAAGATGATGAAATTTCACCCTAACAATAGATACCTGGTCATTTTTTGGTGTTATAAACGGCTAATATTGACATGTTCTATGTCATATTAACTTACGTAATATATGGCTAAATTATACAATTATCATCTATATTATTATATTACTGTCCAAAAGTAGAGTAATATGTGTTAGAATATCACTTGAACATTTAAAATACAAGTGTATTTGGATTATGAAAACTAACCATTGGACTGATTAAATACAGTCCACGTATCTCATATCTTATTGTCTAGAAATATTCTATATTAAATGATTGGAAAAAGTCGGTAAGAAACTCCGCTTGACATAGGTCTCATCCTAGTTAACGTCCATCAGCAAGGCGTACCTACAGTTATGAGGAAAGTACAGCCACCTGCCTGTAAGGCGAAAACCCGCTTTATTGTTGGGGATGTTAAATACCCAGAACTCACTTGGTAAATACCTTATTTCTAAAATTTGAATTTCTGTTTTCGCGCCGAAAGCGCTTGTTTTACCTTTATGTCGTATTTCCCATTTGGGAGAATCCTAAACGCTATTGGTCCGTTGTATCTTTAAGTATGGTTTTTTGTAACGCTTCTCAAGGACAGTTTTATACTGTATATATACGTTTGACTTGTGCCTGTCGTTATCGCTCGTGCTTTTGACTACTTGCGGAATATATTTCTCCGTTCGAGCTTCGACTTCTCTCTCTAGTTAGCGGGGCTAGGACACATCAGAATATCTTGCTTATCGGTCTTTGTTCCGTCCGCTTCAAACATAGCATTTACCCAGCCTCATAGTCTGAGCCGTTACCACTAAGCTATTCAGATGGCGATTGATCTCTTGTAGGAATGAAATGCTTCCAGTTGATTGATCATAGAGTTAGTTAGTGACTTATATTATTTAGATAATTCGATGCATTTTAATAATTGTCAGTTGTATCCAACACTTTCCACTTCTTCCCATAATAGTTAGAATGTTTCCACATCAATCTCCTTAGGAACTTGCTACATCAACATTGTTTTTTATTCTGTATCTACCGAAGAAGGTGATCCATCAGCTTTCACATGACAATTGATTTTTTAATATAATGTCGAATTTTATATTCTGATCGGTTGTCAATAATAGTAGTCATATTGGTAGTATTTCGTTTGTTGTACATCTCTTGCCTGTTTATTTATTATTCCACTTTTCACTATTTTTTTCCTTTAACAGTTGTATGGAATACGAATTAGGATTTTCAGTCAAGTTTAACTTAACAGATTGAACACTGTTTCCATATTTTTGTTAGTTATCAGTTTTAAAAAGTGTTTTGGTGATTCTTCAATTTTTTTGTATTGCTTTCTGTTACTTTCTTAAATTACTCTGGCTTAATAGCCGACTCTGGGGTCTTATTATTGAGTTTTGTAAATGGGTGGATCATTCATGGTTCAGAAATATCTCCTGTGTAATTTTATGCGGGTTTATGGTTATTTGTACATTCTGAATTTTTCATAAAAGATTTGCGCTTTTCAAGGTTACGGGTTTTCTGTTGATATTAACACGTGTTAATTGCACCATACATTGTTAACTAATCTAGTGATCACTAGATCAGCAGTGGTAATGTGTTGTAGTTGAAGGGGATTTTTTGGAGAATTGGTTTAATTTGTTGGTTGTATTCATCATAGATTGGTCTCAGTAAGGGAGCTATTAAAAGCCAGCGGCCAATGAACAGGTGCCTCGTCTTGGTTTGGGACTCTCCAATAATCTGACTCGGTAATTCCGATAATCAAGTGTCTATCATGAGACGTAAAGGTCCTGGTCTCAGTCCCTGATTGAGTTGTAGGTACGCGTTACCACTGAGGAGTCTCATACTAGGATGAAGTAGCTGGCCAGTGCTTTCTTACTCTCTATGATACTCCAACTAAGGTCAATCTGTGATGAATAAAACCTCACAATCATTAATAATTGCTGAATGTTCCTAGAATTTACTGTTCTTCAAAGATTACTATTATTTTAATCCTATTCACTGAATATTTTCGAAAATGTTCCTTTGTTCATAATTTTGCCTTGTAGTTACGATTCGGTGTTTCCGCGAAATTCGATACCCATCTTTCCGAGTTTAGTCATCGAAGTTCATATTTCACATGTCCTGTGTGTATGACTAAGCTAAATACTCGTTGGGCTTTAACACAGCATGCTTTTTCTGAGCATTGGGTAAGTGAAGTATGTTATACGTACCTTTTTAGCAATTGTTTAATTGTAATAGAAATTAATGTCACAAAGAGCTATTTGGTTTTATTTTTAACTGTAAATAAGGATGAGAAATTGATTGGTTTCGTAGTGAATCTTCACCAGCTGATGTGCTAGGGATATGTATTATGTAAGCTCAATCACCGGATACCTCGTTGGGCTATATTGCCTGGTGTTAGAGTAAACTTAAAAGATGCTCTAGGCAACCAAATCAAAACTTGGCATCGTTTCATAAAGTTATTTACTGTTGGCCTAAGCCGTGTACGTAGACGTAGATTACCTGTTTGAGGTGCGCATGACTTTCGTAACCAATTGTTAGGGCCTGGGTGACAGCTCAGAATCATCCACACTGGCGCGGGCGCATTCATTGTTTATTTTTCCTTAGTTCGTAAATCGCGAAACCCCATATAAACTTTTAGTTTTTTTCCACCTAACCTTTCCTACCGGTACTATTCTTACTATGATATCAATGTTGATAAATTTATCTTGACGTTCTTATGTGGTGTGCCAACTTGAGCTGACATACAAATGTATCAGGTTCTATATTATATATGATTGAAACAACATGTAACCATTAAGTGATTTTTAATCCTGCTAGTAATTTAGTACTTGTTCTTATTATTAGTTGTGACCTTTTCACTCGTGTACCTTTGTATATATGTGCTTGCATGTATTCTGGTATACCTTATTTATTGTACTACATGTAAAGGGATTCAAACTAATTTACAAATTCGTCCGTAGATTTGGTTGGTCATATCAATATCCAATCTACACTCACTCATTTCCTCGTTTCGGATTTGTCTGCCGATGTGCATCCTTAAAATGTATGCATATTTTCCTCTATTATTACAATGAAGTCTGATGATCTCTGTTTGAAAACAATATTTTCAGCTTATTCATTATGTTAATGCAAAACCTTGAGGGATTTTCTTCTTGATTAAACTCATCTTCCAATTTAATGCTTTCTTTTGTATGTTTTTCTCTCTGTTTTCTTAGGGCACTCTTTGTTATATTTGTTGTATTTATACTGTTAAACCGATTGAAGAAAATTCTTCAGCAGAGAGAAATAATCATAATACAAACCCTCCAAATCTATCTACTATATCCTCGTCCTCCTCCTGTCCGTCGTCGTCATCACCATCAACTGCAGTATCAGTAGCAACATTTGACAGAAGTAATGGAAACGATAAATCACAATCGGATTTATCCACTACAACATTATGGGATCATATATTTCTTTGTATGAATAAACGTCTTGAATTGTTGACCACTTGTCATCACAGCACACCTACATCATCATCATCATTAATAGGATCAAGGAATGATCAAAATAATTCTGAATGTTCATTGGAAGAAATTCAATCAAATTTCGAGAAAGAAATTAATGATGGTAAATATTTATCATTATCATCATAAAAATAATAAAAATCTTAATAGTAATTGTATACTTTACTAATCGTCATTGAAATAACGACTATCAACTGTTTCTTGCGAAAAATCTGAAACGCGATGGTGGATATTTTATGCCTTATTGAAACGTAGCAATATTTGTTTATTAACTCACTTCAAAGTTATAGAATGAAAAGGTCAAAATATAAAGAGCATGATGCATAGTTTTTCGAAGGTAAATAGAAGACTCTTCGTATTTGAAATTAAATAGCTGATTAGGTAAACAGTTGTTTATTTGAAGCTACAAGGCATTCTTGTTGTACTCCTACGAATCTAGCCATTACTCCTAACTCTCATAGTCAGTACTGCATGGTCTAACTGTGAATCTTTATCCCAAGTTAAACTGCAAGACCGATTCGATTCTTTATTCAGAATCATGGATGCTCACTGCTGAAGTGTCTCATTCTAGAACGAAGAAACCGTCCAGTGCTTCCATGCTTTCAGTAGTTTAATATTGATCGGCTCATGTTTTCAATGATATTCAATAATGTTTACTGGTTAGTGAAGAAAGCTCGCCTTTATTATTTTATGGACTCCGGTACTATTACTTAATAACGATTGTGTATACTTGATCGATTACTTTTTTGGAGTCATCAGCCACATCCCATCGGTTTTGTTGGCGGGTCGTTCTACGCAATCATCATAATCCAGTGATTGTGGGAATTCAGTATTAACATGTGTCTCATTCATAAACGACCAAAGTGACCCACTGATGAGTTCATTATTACTGTGCATAGTTCATATGTATTTGTTTTTTTAATATTTTTTTCCCATGAATTGATTTCTTCTTTTCAAACTGCATACTTTATGTTTAGTCCGTTTTGTATATCATTCATTTCGGTAGTTTCATTTCTCATCTCTCGATAATATAAAATTTCACAATTTGGGCTGATGTAAATTTGCTTTGAGGTAAATAGAGCAAATCAGTGGATTAAAGTGGTTAAGATTTATGTGTTTCACATGTCTACTCATGTATATAGTGCTTATTGATAATGAGATTGGGAAACAATACATGAACCATGCAAATCAAGACATAATATTTAATTATAAAGTCATTGGCTGTTAGTCTAGGCAATTTCGATAGCTAGAGATAACAGTCTAGGACTCATGAACTGACTAATCGTAATGAATCCTGAGAGATTTTATATGAAATCGGTCATATTGACTCTGTTACATACATTTTTTTCTGTGTTCCTCTAAATTTTGAATTACATATCTTGACTAATGTAGTGTACTTTTAATCTATAGCTTGATATCATAACATATGAGATCACTGAATTTGAGTAAAAAATCAAATATTCATTTGTATACTCTACACTAAAGTACTATTATTATTGCCTTATATAGAAAATATAGTTATAAACTTCTCAAACTTTCATGGTACACAGTGAAATAAGCAATAAATAAATCTAATTTATTATTTGTAATATTTTATGATAAATTAGGTGGTTAGACTAATCCACAAGGGATTGTGAACGGGGTTTTTTTCTCTTGTTCAAAAAGACTCTATAGAGTAGTAATAGTTTTCTATGAATCTGTATACATGCATATCATTCATTAATTTATGTGACTTTATCTTAGAATTTATGATAGATTTCGAAGTACTTCGCCCTTAATTCATAACTATTTAGATTGATGATATTTTCTACTATATTTATGATGTTTCTAATACTTACAGATTTATCAGTACCCAATGCTACAATTGTTATTGACAGTTCACCAGAAAGTTGTGATCATGGTAAATTAGTTTCTTCACGGCAAAACAATTGGAGTTCGTGTTCTGGAGTTGTTAATACTTCTTCATCTTCTATCAGTACTAATATCACTAGTGTCATTACTACTTCTAATACAATGCTTAGTAATCCTCCTACTTTTGTTATCTCAGTTGGTAATTCTGTTAGTTCATCAATTACAACCGCAACATCTTCATTCACGCCATCGACTGATAATTCTGACAAATATGTACATAAAATTTTCAATAAAAAATCATTGGAAATAAAAAATACATATCGTAAACGTTCCCTTCAAGTAGATAATACTTATGATAATGATGATGATGACGATGATGATCGGGATTATGTTGGAGAACAGAATATTGTTAGTGATTATGTTACAAATACTGACCATAGTATGAAATCAAAAAATCACATCGCAAACAACTGTAAATTGGTGATTAAATCGAAATCATCAGGATTGAATACTATACCACAGTCCACGTCTGATATTTCTAAAAAACGACGTATCTCAAAAGATTTAGATGATCATACAAAGAACCATGGTGCTTGTCATGATGAAATGGTAAAGAACAATTTAACTACTTGTAGTAGTAGTGCTCCCGCTACTCACAGCATTACTACTAGTAGTAGTATGAATAATTCTACCTGTTCTGGTAATTATTTACACAATTCCGATTTAGATGAACAAGAATGCTCAACTATTTGTCCTGATGATAACGACGTTAATACAGAAAAGTAGGTCTGTTTTTTTGTGGTTATAAATATACTGGTTTATATTTATTTTTACAGCCTAATAGATGTCAAGTATGGGTTGGTGTGTGTGTGTCGTTCAATCCATAGTAGGTAGGTGGGTGGATTTTATTTAGGAAATCATCCTCAAACTCCCATTAATTAACTCTGCGTATTCACATGGCGGCTTTAGCCTTAAGGGATATACTTAGTTTTTAAATAAATAAAAGCCCTTATTCTTTAATAATATATTTGTCCATTTAACCACTAATATCGTTTAGCTAAAGATTTCTTGATAAAGATATGATAATAGCTAGAATTCGATAAGAAATTTGTCCATTTAATTATACTAATAGTTGTTGAATTATACTCCTAAAAGCACCGACATGCCTAAAGATGTGGGGTCTCCTTAGTCTGGAAATGCTCTTATATAGTCACATATGTTTATTTCAGGGCAATCTTACTCACTGGCTTCACATGGTGAAGGTCTTTTTCTACAGGAAAAATTAAATAAATCGACGAACCAATGGTTTAGTCGTGAATGCACTTGACTTTCAAGTTAATAAATCACATCTACTTTGATTTGGAAAGCCAGTGAGTAATATCTCCAGTTGTTGCCTAAGGATTCATATAAATTCAATATTATTCTATCAGACAGTATAAAATATTAAGTTAAAATATAAAACTGATGGATAATATCTATAATGATTTCATCACAATAAATTATACTGATACATTAGACCAATCAGGAAACGGCTTAAATTTCCTAGGATTCGATACACTATTGGTACCTTACTTGGATGAATATGTATACATGGCAATTCGATTTCGGGCTTTTCAGTAAAGTAGTCGGTTAGCCTCGTGTACAAGAAGATTGCATATTAGTATGAAGTCACACAGTATTTTCGTTGCTAATGATCAACTCAGTACAAAAAAGCATAACTTCTCAGTACACTAGTGCATACTTGATTATTGAGTTGTATAAAATTAAAAATTGACCCTAACTAAAGAACATTAATACTATTAGCACTAGTCTTATCAAATTAATAATGTTAGATCGGAATTGGGGTTTGTGGAGATTGTAGTAATGTAAACAGTTGAATTCATGAGTCGATCTAAGCTAGATCACCATTGAAAACTGGAAGCACTGGACGGTCGTTTCATCCTGCTACGGGACTCCAAAAACCATCAGTCGGATAATATTCATCATGTGCTCACTAGTTACTGGCTTCAAGATGGATTTCCTAGAGTTCTAATGAGATGCCGTAACCAGTGGAGTCCAATCCGTGTCGGGTAGAGAAAAGTATTTACCTCAAAAAATAAATGAATGTTTGCGCAAGATCATGGGTCGAGTAATAATGTTAGAGTCTATAATCACACTATCTGTGCATCTTCATAAAACACATTTTGTCAACTACACTTCGAAAAACTTTTCTTTATAGATAAGTAATCAGTATAGATAACTATTATCCGTTTGAACAGTTATAACTTGCTGCACAAAATCATAATGTGTAGTTATTAATTACTAGTTATAATTTTATAAACGTTTATACCTGTGAATAACAGCATGGCTTATTACCATTATTATTACTGTTATGCATATTATTATTTTCTGAAATATTTTCACTTCTCATAGAATTTGTGTAATTTGCGGTAAAAAACAAACAGCTGATACATGGGAAGAACATTGTCTATCTCATCGAAATCCTAAAATGGCATGGGACGGTGTTCGAATCTCTCAACCAGATCGACCAGCTTTCTGTGAAGTTAGACCTATGAAAGTCTATAGGTAAATTTTAATTTCCTCTATACCATAGGATTTTTTTCAACAATTCGATATCAGGTTGTATTATCTATATTTCATGATGAAGTTTCAACATCATCTTGGTAATACAATACTCTATAGCCTCTTAATTGCTGTTCACTGTAGAAACTTCAAATGTATTATTGACAAAAATGGCTATCCTGCAGGATCAATTCTAATTAGTTTTGACTTATTCCAGTTTATAAGGAACGAGAAATCGTAAGAGGAGTTTTAGATTAACTGTGAGTTTTTCTACTTTATTAAGAGTAGAAGGGCTGATGTTGCTACTCTAGCATTCTTACTGACAATTCTATCTCTCTGAGCTGATGGAGTGTTACAACTCGGACTGATCCATACGTATTTCAGGTTCTAAGTCCCATGTATGGAACATCAATTGATTGACAAGAATCGCCATTTCCTTAAAACTCTTAAAGTGTACAGTCGTTTAACTGCTAACTGAGACTCTGTAACAACCCTATATAAATCGAGCAGTGTGTCCAAGTATAAAAAATGTGTGTATTCACATTTTAGTCAGCTATTTATTTCAGATGCGCATTTATCATCTCTTCAACACTAATCAACCTCTATTTATGTAGAAAAGGGGTTGTGTTCTGCCTGATATCTAATAAATGTATCATACTACTAAACAGTTTCTGTATTCGATCTCACACAGTGGTTTTGTGCAAGTGTATTATAATTAGTCATCATTTGTGCTTATAATAACCAACGATCATGTCCACCGATGAGATCTATTGTCGTTCTTTTTTTGAAAAATAATGTTCTCGGTAAGATGACGGAAAACTCGAACTACTCCTAATTTATCTTGTGAAGGGTTTGAATCATCTTCTGTAATTTAATCTTTTTTTGGTTGACTTTTGATCAATCTTAGTTAACATGTGATCAGCATGTGCAGATCGCCTCGATACAATCATTTTATCATAATTTTTTCTATAGGAATAAATAATGGTTATCAATGGGATCCAGGATGGACGTCTCGTCCTATTTTATATCAACTTGCGACAAACTGACTATATCGGTGCGATCCGCACAACATCCACGTATGCCAACAAAAAGATGGTCAAAATTCAGTCAAAAAATTATCAAAAACAGGATAATTAAAAGTCTATACAAACTAAATTAAAATCTAACCGCTATTATACAATCTAGTACCTATTTGAGCTTAATAGCTCAGTAAATAATGCAGTGAATGGTTGAATTGAAAGGTACATTGTATTCAAGTCCGCGTGTGAATATCAATATCCTCGAATGTTGCAAATACATCTAATTGATAATTTATAAAAATAGAATGAAACTAGCTTCTTAAATTTCACTGATAATCATAATTCATCTATATCCCATCAATCTCCTTGTATTGTTTTGTTTTTATCTTAAATTTTGTTATCATATTTCAGATGTTACATTTGTTATAGACGATTTACTATTCGATCTTCATGTTTTCGTCATATGACCACTGTGCATCGTTTAAAAAAGTCGCAGTTAGATGCAAATCTTTTAACTGAATTATCTAGTCGTAAGTTTAACTTTTATTGTAATATGATTCCTATTTTATTAGAATTATTACAGTGATTGTTTTAAGATCTAATTGACGAGTCTTAAATAGGACGAAACATGCGTCCTGGATTTCACTGCTAGCCACCATGTTATCTTTGCGTATATGTCATCCAGTGTTTCCAATCATTGATCATGTTCATCGATTGTATTCGAACTGTTCATCAGTTATTATTACTATTACTATTACTATTATTATTATTATTATTATTATTATTATTATTATTATTATTATTATTATTATTATTATTATTATTAGCTTTATTCAATATTATAATTTTGGTACAATATAGAATTCTCAGCGCAAAGTATTTCAACAAGTTTCCGTTTCTTTCTTCTTGGTCGGTCCTGGCGATAAATATTGAGGGATCGCCAGTTAGATGTTAGCAGTCCAGTAAATCAACATCTGAATAATGTACATTCTTTTCGTTGTATATTGTCAGCAACCATATTGTCTCTTATTGAGTTTTCTGTAACTTTGACAACGAAAGGTTGTACACTTTTCAGAAACGCAGCAGACTAGGCTATGCGACTAATAGACATAATGATATATTAAAACAAACAACAATAGATAACTTGTTGAAATATCTAGATGGCAGGAACAGGTAGCCCAGATGCTCAAGTAGATTACTGTACTTGGCTTCCAGTGTGTCAAAAATTAAGGTAGGTCAAGAGCATGTTTTCAACCTGCTACCTAATTGCTAAAAAGTTTAAACTCGTTAATCATTGAATCACTGTATCGGTGCATATGGGATGTATGCACCAACGTACTTTTAAGATCTACTTTATTTTCAAATTATTGTTTAATTTTTTGATAATTAGTTATTTGTGTTCTCTTTACTCCATTTTAGCAAATTCAAAACGAACAAATTGTCCTGAATTGAACAAATTAAGTTCAGAGTTGGGAAATTGTTCACTTAGTTTATCAAATCACATCAAAAATAGTAAAAGTCATATTTCACTGAAGAAACCTGCTAATATTACTAGTACTACTACTAATAGTAGTATTACCACTACTACTACTACTACTACTACTACTACTACTACTCCATTGAAGCATCATTCAATTTATAATAATATATCGAATACTGTTGATTCTAAAAAGAATAAAAATAGATCATTAGTGAGTAGTAGTATGTCAAAATCGAAATATTATTGCTCTATATGTCATGTATCATTTATTTCTAATGAAAGTTTATCCAGACATTGTATGTCAGCTCATGGACAACAACGTAAACAGAGAGTATAGAATATCTATTTTTGTTTGTTTGTTTGTTTGTTTGTTTGTTTTATTTTATAATAAATCCTATAATTTTTTAACTGCATATTCAACATTACACTATAACATGTACATAGTTTACACATTATTATACACAGATAAACGATAGATGCACATTTTATTTTATTCCTTTTTTTTGTAATTTATATCTCGTTTGCTGTTTTTCTTTTCTCTTGAGAAAAAGGGGATTTGTACAGATAGATCTGTATGTATGTATGGTAGTAGTGTTGCTTCTCTTTTTTTTACTTCTTCTTTTTCGTTGTTCTCATTTCCTTGTAATTATTAGTGCTTGTTTTTCTTGTAGATTGTATTTCTCTATTTTCTTTACATCTATTCTCACAGCACATATCAATAAAACATAACACCGTTAACAAATCATGTATGAAATATATGTCAACTATTCGTTGTGTATGTTCCCCCCCCCTCTCCCCTTCTGTTCCATAATGTTCTCATTTTCTGTTTATTTATTTAGTAAAAAGTGGAAGAAAAAGCCTGATATTTAAAAAAGCAAAGGGGTAAATTCATCGTTATTCTCTTTATTGTTTTTTTTTCTTTTTTAAGTTGAACTATTTTGTTTTATTTTATTGATTTTAAAAAAAAGAAGAAAGTGTACAGTTTATGTAAACATAGTTGAACGTTTATGGTATCTGTGTGTGTGTGTGCGTGTGTGTGTATTGTTTATTTATTTGTTTGTTTGTTTTAAAAGAAAGAAATTATCTTTCATTAAAAGTAAACAAGTTCACATTCAACTGAATAATAATCATAATACTACTGTTGTTATTTTCTTTTGTTTAACAATCGACTATTGTTAGTTTACTTTAACAAAAACAAGTTAGTTTAGTAATGCAAAATATTAGAATTATAGTGTGATGAGATGAGTGTATAGTTATGTAATAAGGGACGAGGGTAGAATAGGTTCTGTGTGACTACATTTTCTGTTGTTCATTTTATATAAAGTTAAAATTCTAATATGTTTGTATGTTTAGGTGATACCGTCAATGGTAGGAATAATTTAATTAGCAGTTTAAACGATATGAAAAGGATTATTGAATTCAATTGATTCACTACAATTTGTGTATATGAACGTTTCAATGTTAGAATTCATGAGATCATTAGTAGACAGTGGTTTTTACTTGTTGTAATCAACTGGTTAGCTACCAAATTAAGTCGTTTTGCTTATTCTGTGACGATATTAGTTGATTAACTGATAGTATATTCAATATGTCAATTTGTAATCCATATAAAGTAAATTCATGAAAAGAAATAACTGAATCGATAAAGGTCATCTTGAATTGATTATTATTATTACACTAAATGAATCTTCATCTCTATTTTTTTCTGATGTTTTCTTTTCTTTCTTTTTTATTCTTGTTCATATTCAGTCACATCTAGGATCCATCTATCGTTTTTTTTTCTTTTTTTTTTTACAATAACCAATTGATTTCTCTAATAGTCAATCTTTTGGTACACATGATTGATGAAAACAAATTCACCTTTGTAGTTAACCGCCATACTCTTCTACTTTCCTTGATTTTTCTTTCCTTAAAATATGAATATCATTTTAGTTACATAATTAGAATGTTGAATTTGTATTAGGGTTTTTACTGATTGAAACTCAATGATTTTCATAGAAACTATTGTTTAACTTCGACTTAATGATCATTATTTCCACTACTACTACTACTACTACTACTACTACTTATTATTATTATTATTATTATTATTATTACTATTATTATTATTATTCAGTATACTATTCATGTACTTATAGTAGTTTTACAAAATATGTAAGTTGCTATTATTACTGTATTAGTTTGTGTCGTTGTAATTTTGTCAGTTTTGTATAATATAACAATGTTACTAATGATTAGTCTGTTACTAGACATAAAAGAAATTGTAATGAAGATGTTATTTACAAAAGATCCCTATAGTGATACCGATTTTCCATAGTGGTCTATCTTTAATTGACTTATGATTTGAACTATTGAAATTACTATAATATCCACAAATACACCTTCTGATAAAGAAGATATATCAATTTATCATTGACAGTAATATGTATGATGTTTATCTATACGAAGTTGTGAAAGCATAACTTAATCTATGTTAAGGAGAGAATTATTTTATGTGTTACATATTATGCTGCTATATCTGTTTCGTCAGTTAATCTAGCTGAGATATGTGTTATGTGAACTCATTTACTATCTACTTCAACATGTAATGATCATTAGGGTTGATTAGATCAAAACATTATATCAATTCATAAAGTTTGATAGACTGTTGATCTTTGGTGACGTTAGAAAGTGTAAATTTTCTTGTTGAAGTTAATGAAATAATCAATTGATTTTAATGGCTCTATATCTAATTCCAGATCAGAAGGCATTGTGTTTGAATCATGTTCGACTCACCACTGTAATGGTTCTATATCTGACTCCAGTTAAATCGTATGTTTGTTATTGAAATATACGTGCTGTCAACACTCGTATATTTTTATCAACTTAACTTGCGTTAGAGAAGAACGGAATAAAATAGGCTAAATAGGAGGATAAATCTTGATTGCGTACATTTCGTACACGTTGATTTGAACAGAGAATCGAAGTGAAGGAAACGAAGCGGAGTGGGAGAAGACGAGCGAGCCAACTCAAATTAATGAAATATGACTCAATATTCATATTCAAACAAAAATTACAGACACATAATGAATGGGATGAACAATTAATACACATACGATCATGTAAAAATCGGTCAGGTTTAATAAACGAATAATTGACAAGGTCAAAATGTGACTTGAGAAGAATAAATAAATTGGTCTGTTCAGAAGTTAGGATGGCCTATGTAGGTTTGACATGGTAGAAGCCTCTTCCGGCTTTGTGTAACTCGAAATTGGTGTCCCTGATCCTAATTTTGTGTATTTGTCTTCTAGATCTTATGTTTAACTATTCATTCTACCATTTTCTTTAAGTATATTCTGCATGTTTTATTGTTTGCTATTACTTTTGTTTTGGTTTCATTTTTTCTTGTCATCGGGTTGATTTAATTGGGTCACAGTGTTAATGTGTGAAGTGTGACAGCTTGGAACATTTAATATATCTACTAGGCCTCATGTGGATTACGACTACTTGTCTGTATATTACTATTTGTTCACTTTGATTACTCTGAATTGTGGACGATTGAGAGATTTTTTTAATACAAAGAAGGATTTCCACGAAATAGACAGATAGCACAACAGTATTGAGAATCAAAACTTCCGATTGAAGAAAGAAGACGATACTTCATGCGATCTTTTACATTCCATGAGTACAGTATTACTTTGTAATTAGTCACCTGAAAAGCGTTCGTCACGAATGGAATATCAGTTTCGAAGCTTTTGAAAATCAATCAGATACAGACGCATCATGATTGTAAAACTGAGTTAGAACCAGTAAAATCTGCGTTGTATAACGCAAAATATACAGAACGTATAGCAGCTCACATGCATTGAGTTTGTTCACATTGAATTTGGTTAAACCATTCTATTAACTTGTTTAACAGACAGTCATTCGAACAACAACAAAAACATCTTATCTATATCATTGTAATTTTATTATTGTTGCGCTTGTATGAACATGTATGATTGAGCATGGCTTAGCGCCTACGTACATATTCAATTTGCTGGGTGTAGTGTTAGTCGCATAAATCATTCATGTCTCCTTCACTCGGATTGAAATTTCTATACTTGATACAAGTTTGGGTGTTTAATGGTAACTTAACCGGAACCTTTGTACAATTTATTCTGCTGTTCTTTCCTCTTCCCGTTTTTTGAACTGCACTTTCCAGAGGATCAGCAAAAAATACTGTCCAACCATTTAATTGGTGGTAGTTTGTGAAGATTTCACATGCTCGATATTGTTTTGTTCACATAACTTCTTAAACTGTTCTGTTGCCAGAGAAAGTAGTAAGTACTAATCCAAAACCACCTCCCCAAGATTTTGAACCATATCTGCAGAAATTTCAGTGACAAAAATAGGAAATATGTTGTGATTATCCTTCAAAATCCATGTCGAAAAAAAGACAAAAGTTCTTTTGGTACTGTCCGTCGTTGTAATTCTGCTGTAATAGATAGTCTCGATGATTTTACACTTGTGGGATTGCCTTATGATTTCTTATGTATCTTGACTTATAATCAGTCATCATACATAAGCATAAACTGTATACTTAACTAGGTTTCTTCATCAATCAACACCCAAAACTTTGTAAACTATCAAAACTAGGATATCTGTCACGATTATTATCGACAAATTAATCTCTGCAACTGAAGTTCAAAGCTAAATTTCCCACTGAATATTGTGTTATGAATTCTCTTATTACAGCTTAACTACTCTTATTACTCAATTCGCTCGACAAATTCCCAAATCAGAACACGGTTGGACAGGATACATAATTATATTGCAAATAAACAAGGTTTAATGAACGTAGAAATCACAATTAGAAAAACGCTAGTATGTTTATCATTTTTACATAAGATTCTAGACTATTCCGCAATATTCCTCTAAGAAATGACCAGTCAGTGTGCTCCAGAACAATCCTGTACGAAACATGCTTAGTCCAATCTATATCGCGCTAATCAATTGATTTTATGTAATTTCATTTAAATGTTCTCATTTAGTGTAATTTCTGTTATCATTGGTTACAGTTAAATCGACAGTTTAAGTGAATCCCATAGCTGTTCAATAAACTTTATTGATTCATTTGCTGAGTTTCATTGATCACGATGCTTACCGATTGTTATAATTTATGAAAAAAAAAATGGTTACAAATGAAGTGCAGAGCGTATAACAAGATAATGCTGGTAAATTGAATGAGATAATGTAAAATGTATTTTTACTGGTACGTGCGAAAAAAACATCAAATTTGGTTATTTATACTACTGTAGTTCAATCTAAGTACGAGTTTGAATGTGAAAATGAACATATGAAGAACAGACATAAAACTATTAGAATAATAGAAATTTGTAGATCAGGTAAATTACTTTAATAGTATTTCATCCTACCATTTGTACAATCCAGTTGGGAAGCTGTCATTGTCTGTTTTACTTGAAGTGAATGCTGATGATGTTCTACAGAACAATAAGAAAACCGTCCAGTTTAGAGAAAACAATACCATTAAGTAGAGAACTGTTCCTCGATTTACTTTATGAGTAAAGAAGACTAGTTTCAAGGCCAACGAAATAACATATCTTAACGTTTATTAACAAAATTAATTGATTATTTCGCGGATGAATTCAATATCAAAACAAATTATACAAAAATATTGATAATCATTGTGTAAGATACCTATTGGAAACCACTAAATCAATTACTTTTCTTGCGAAAATAACGTTTTTGTTTGACTTATATTCTCCATTGGAAAGCAGGTGCAAGGAATTTATATTGAAACTACATCCAAAATAAATCTGTGACATAGAAACAGGAAGTTAAACTCAATTAGCCTGTGTGGATGAGAAGTAAAATTAAAATGTATCTATATTTTGTTTCTGCATATGCAAGGTGGTTGAAGATATTCGACAGGAAACTGGAGCTAGGTTTCATGATATTTGGTACTCGTCAGAAATCCAAACCTGTGATTTTGAAGGAATCGGTATTCCCAGTTAGTTTTGAACCTGCTTCAACCATCTTCACATTGTGAAATGTGACCACTAAGTTATTTGGTCCTATGTAATGGATGCTTAAAAAGGAAAATTCCACTTGATCAATCAACTATCTATAATGTTATATCCTAGTGAAGAATAAACTACGGGTAGCTTCTGAGAACTATTACTGGACTAGATTATGTATATCTCTATTCCTCTCACTATAAGCTTTATTTTGACCTATAGATCATTATTATATGATTTACTGTTCTTACGTTATGTTCAGTTAATTGTTGATTACCGTCTCCCTCGTTCCCAACCACTTTTTGGCTTGATCTTTTACAAATGTTATTTCCTATTTTATGGTGTGATGCGGTCTGTTTGGTTGATATATAAACCAAATATGTTTGAAATAAATGATTCGCATAGTGAGAGTTGTTATTGGTGTTCCGGACTCAACTGGACGGGACAGACACAGTGCTAAGATTCTATAAGTCGCATTTCGATTGGTGTGTAAATCACGTAGTAATTAGTCGGGTTTAATGACACAACATACATAACGTTTTAGATAAGAATTTCATCATGTTGATGATTCCAACTTTTTTTTTTAATTTTTCAGATATTCAATTTCATTATGTTTACAAACTTTGGCATTATTTATTCCTGCATTTGTTTTTAACTGTTCTTATTGTACGAACAGTTTCTCCGATAAAATTGCGTTTTTCTTCTCAACCTTTTATACTGGCTCTCAATCTTTTTATTTATTCATATCTACATTGTAAGAACTAGTTTTTTTCTGATAAGGTTAACCAAATTCATGTTGTCCTTTTCGAGCATACACAACATGCACCCACTTATAGATGTTTTTATTTGAATAGATATGTGAAACTACACAAGCATTAAACCAACGAGTTATTATATACGTTCGAGTTAT